CGGATCTGTCGCAAGTTTAGGGTTTAGGGCCTAGGACACGAAGGGGCGTCTCAGGGGGAATAGCCAGGGTTACCTTTTGCAGGGAGTGAAGTCTATATTGAAGCCCCTCTTCAAGCTTGTCAGAAACTGTCTGTCAAGAAGCCCCGTAGACACTGCTGGCCTCTAGGCTTCAGCGAACCTAGACTGGAGCGCCTTCAAGCCAGAAAGCCCACATCAAGGAATCAACAAGACCTCTGAAAGCCCCTCTTCGCACATTTTCTGAAGCAAGCACCATCATGCACATTCGGGTTTAGATTCAGGCGTAAAGGTTCGGGGCTTACGAGCACTTGACTAGCTGTGTTGAGTATCCTTAAGCCCGAAACCTGCCCCAAAATCGCAGCCAGGATCCTCCCGTGCCACGCACCAGACAGTGCCATCCTCGTTCAGCTGCACGTACACGGTCACTGCGGTGCTCTCCACAACGAAGTTCGGGGGCAGGTAACCTTAGATAGGCAAGACGTGTATCGGGTTCAGGCGCCAAGCTGCAGAACTCTAGGCCGACGACTTGACTAGTATCTGAAAGGGACATCGGAGATTTACCCACTATTGCATCGTGACGAGTACAGAGGAAGTCCATGTGTATACGTTGCTCAGCTGAAACTGCCGAACCCTATTGTTCTACAAGCCGATCCGAAATCGCTTCTGAATAGCCCTACTGAGTTCAGATGCTCAGTCTATACGGGGCCTTGCTGAGTTTGCGGTGGAAGAGGAAGGCTCGCAAGCCCCAACCGATAAAAACGCGAATCTGAAGAAAAGCCCTACACCCGGAACACCCTGACAGCCATATGTATCCCCAAGACAAAGGAGCTCAAACTCTAAACCCTACCACCCTGTAAGCCCCAGGAGCCCTACAAGCCCTACCCACCCTCAGCCCCAAGACAAATGAGCCGAAGACTGTATGCCGGCACCCTTACCCCTGTAAACCCTGCTCCCTTCTGAACCCTGAAAGCCCTAAGCCCCAAGACAAAGGAGCTGAAGGCTGTATACTTGCACCCTAAACCCTATAAACCCTACACCTTATAGATATAACCGTGAAAGCCCCAAGCCCTAAGACGAAAGGAGCTGAAGACCGTATACCTGCACCGCAACAGCCCTTTAAACCTTACACCCTAAAAACTCTCAAAGCCCGAAGCCCCAAGACAAAGGAGCTGAAGACGGGCGCCACGTAATCGCCGCCGGAGGCAGTTGCAATGACTTGCCTCGTGGCCGCAATTTGGCCTTGTGCTTCGAGCAAGGACATCTTGCAATTCCAAGGTATAGGGCTTTAGGTTTAGATTTTATGGTTTAGGGCTTGCAGTTTAGGCTTCAGGGCTTAGAGTTTAGAGTTTAGGGTTTGGAGTTTATAGAGTCAATAGTTATGGAGCTTTGGAAGTCTCGAGCTTGCGAGCGTTTAAGGCGGTGACTTAGATGTTTTAGGACCGTCTACGACAGAAGCCGAAAACAGACTGTGGTATCCTATGCTAGAGCTAAATACGGGAAGATTATGAAGAAAGTTGCAGCCCCTGTATTCAGCTGACAGCTCTGGCGATTTATGACACTCACCAGCCGTGTTGCGTGGTTTGGGGTCCAAAAGTTGGTCAGAAGCTTACGAGGTTTCGGTCTATAGGCTTTCGGTTGCGAGCCTTCGGGACATAAAAATGATATACCCTAAACGGTTAAAACCTTGACTTGGTCTTGGCCGAGAAGCTGAGGGTGAACCCGTTGACGAAGCTGTCCTCTGCATAACCTGCAGCTCCAGTCATGCCCGACATGCCGGGCAGCGAGCACAGGCAACCGAATCCGGTTGAGAAGATGAAACAACCACCAACACACACACTAAGATCTACGCCTACGCATATTGCGGTGCCAATAGAACAAGCCTGCACAGATCAGTTCTAGATGAGTGGATACAAATTTCATATGTATATATATATATATATAATATGTCTATACGCGACCAAGCAAACAAACCAACATACCAACCAACCAACCAACCAACCAACCCACCGACCAACCAACCAACAAACAAACAAACAAACGACCACACACACACACACACACTCACAAAAAAACACGTGAGCAATCATGCAAATAACATACTGCACTATGTGTACATGTATATCTACTTACTTATGTATCGATTTGGTTTCTTTGCTCGTCTATGTGCACATATACACTTCATCTACTTCTCAGTTCATGTATATGCACACGCACAGACTGAGTGACGATTAAAGCTAAGCCCATGGCAGTAAAGGTCGTAAAGCGTCGCAGGTGAAAGGACGGCTACCACCAAGTTGTAGTAGGTGTTGGCCTTGTGAGCGACCGATCAATCGCTAACAGAGGAGGTTTTCGGCAGGATAAATGTTGAACATGGCTGCTGGCATGTGTAGGTCGGCTGGACTAGCAAAGCGACGGGCTTTCGCCCTCTTAACGATACAAGGCAGTCCAACAAGAGCACGTGACATATAGCTCAAGACGACGGGCCTTTGAGGTTCGGAGTTTTGGACCTGGGCTCCTATCAACCCACAAAGCATCCGACGCTCAATCAGCGACCACCACAATGGTGCGTATCCCTGAAGTCTCTATCAAACAACGAGCGGCCACTGCCGATGCGGAATCATAGCCATCAAGACCCGTACCGGTCTTCATCCTCGGATTTTCTCCATTTCACTGCTGACCAACATGTACCCATAGGCCCCAATGTAGTTCCTTTTTGGGGTTCATATATAGAATTCTATAAGGGAATCCCAAAAAGGAACTACTTTGTGGCCTTAGGGTAAGTGTCATGTCGCATGACTGAATCATTGTTTGCAGTTGTATTCCGTCTTCACGGATGACGCAGCCTGGTCGGACCAGGACTGCCTACTATGGCTTCGGGCTGAAACCATACAGCGAAGCTGCTGGCTGATACTTGGGGTGTAGCTCGTAGCCGTCTCGAGCGCAGCGCATGATACGAAGCCGTTTTCGTTCAGGCGCACCTGGTGCAGACAGCACATGACAAGCACGCAAGCAGGCAGGCACACAAACACATTGGCGTTAACGAACACAAACACACAGACAGACATGCACACAAACACACGCAAACGGACAAACAGTCAGAGAGAGACCCACAGACAGACAGCCAGGCATCCAGGCAGGCTGGTGGCTGGCAGGCTAGGATGGAAGGCCAAGCAGGCAGGCGGCTGGGCAGGAAGGCAGACAGGTAGACAGACAGACAGACCGCCTTTACTTGAACCCATGGGCACACACCCACAAACAGCAACAAACAAACAAAACACAACAATCGAAGAGGCAAACATACCGACGCACATGCACACGTACTCACACACAAACAAAAACACACACAGCTTCAACATCGTGCCGTGAAATCTCAGTCCTTGTGATCATGATACTGCGTTCTATGTACTCTATCTCGTATACATATGTATACACATACACAAACACCTACTTACACATCCAGATGTTACACATAGTTGTATACATCTACATACACACATACTGCGAAGGATACTGAACACGTCGTGGCTCCTGCTGAGGCCCTTGCAGTCATCAAGACGTGGAAGATGAAGGGCTTTGTGTCTTCGATTTGCAGCCTCAGCAAACAAGCAAAGGCTTCCGGGTTTCAGAGCTTGGAGTCTTGGAGGTTAGGGATTTAGGGTTGAGGGACTATGGGGTTTAGGAAGGAATTTCGACACAGTTCTCGGTGTTCGCCCGCATGTGGCGTGGGGCGGGCCGCGCTGGCAGCATGCTCATTTGTACCCTGTCTTGCAGGAAGCCCTCGCGGTTGGCAGATGCATTCTCAGTCGCGACCATTAGCCATGATGGCATGTAAGTCTCTGGCACTGGCGGCGTCGTATCTGCAGTGCCGACATTGAATCGAAGCCATAGCAGCGTGAAGAAGGCGAGCATGGCGTGCTCGCAACTTTTCAATATCAGACGCAGTCGAGTCGATTGCACTTCAGTGCTTTGCAACTACCTTAAGTCCTCAATCCTAAACCTCGATTAAAACAAAGTATCCGAAGGTCCCGACCTCCTGAGTTGTCCGAGGCTTGATTGGTTTTACAGAGTTTGTTATAAGTCTCGGGGTTTTCAAAGAGAAAAAACAGGGCTCAGGGCTATAGACGTCCTGAAACTCAGCGAAACGAATCTGTGCCATGCTCTCACAAATCTGGAGCGACATGCCTTATTATTGCAGCCATAGTTCATGCAGGACCTCACCCTAAACCTAAACCCGAACCCCTAAATCCTAAATACCCTGAACGATAATCGTGCATCCCCAATCCTCAAAACCTATACGCCTTGATCGGTAACTCCGAAAAGGGGGTCCCAGTTATTTCATGTTCTAGAGAAGAGATCGGTAAAAGGATTTTAATGCACCAGGATGGGCGGGCAGAATCAAACTCTGGGGCCCCGTGAGCACGTCCGGAAAACGACCTAGACCTGCTCTCTCCTAACTCGCTCCTGTTTTGTACATCCTAAACCCTATGAGTCTATGAGCCCTCTAAGCACCCGCAACATCCCTAAACCAAAGACTAGGGGCACCTCCATAGTCGAATACCGTTCTGGTATTTTTTTATGCTACAAAGTTATATCAAGGGCTGCGGGGGCTTATGATTGCTCTTTCTTCCGACCCCACCAAAGTAGCCTCTGCTTTTGCCTGCAAGCGCACTGCAGGGGTGCCAGGATGGCGGCATAGGTGAAACACATGCAAAGAAAGTTCTGCCTGGTTTAGGGTTTAAGTTACTGCATGGGGTTTAGGGATGAAAGGAGTCGGGATTCAGGCATGTTGGGTTTTAGCATGCAGGGCATGGTGGTGTTAGGCTGTCTCTCGGGTCTCATGATCCAACGGGGTTGGTCTTGGGGCTTCCAGCGGGTTCAAAACAAATTCGCATTGATGACAGGCGCCATCATGTGCAGCCCATGTCACCAGAAGATGTACACAAAGTGTGTCATCAGCTATGCAGCAATGAAAAGATTGACAGTTATTCTTCAGCCTTTGTCTCCTCCTGCTTCGCCTTTTCCTGTGCATTCCTGGCAGGTCAGGGAGAAATAAATCAAAAAACTCCTTGAGCCCTCAACTCCTACGCACTCGACATACATCTTACACCTTAAACTCAAAACCTGAAACTAGGACAAAAGAACTCAGCGTGGAAGACTGTCTGGTGCATAGTAGGGAATGGGGGAATGGATCCCTATAGTAGCCCCTACATAATCCCCAATCATAGACTCCATAATCCATTCCCCCATTCCCTGTTGAGGACCAGACAGTAAAGGCCTATAGATCCCTTTATAGGATCCCTGAAAATGGAACCCTAAACCTAAACATCCCTAAATCCTAAGCCAAGCGTGGAAGAGGTACGTCATCGCTTCGACAAACCACTGAGGTGGCCCTTGCTGCTTTAGCTTCTCGAAGGCTTCGTCCATAGGATTGTTCATCTCGGCCTGGAAGTGTGGACTCTAAGGCCCACTATAACTACTAGAAATACAATAAGGAACCCCAAAATATGGAGCCAATCAATTATACTATAATTCTAAAAAGGAACCCCCAAAATAATATAGGTAATTATTAAGGCCCCTATAGTAGGTTCTAGGGGTTTACGGTTTCATGGTTAATGGATCTGTCGGATTTCTGGGAGTTTGAGCGATTTAGGGAATTTTGAGGTTGCGTGGAGTTGGGGTCTGAGGTCTAGGGGCTCTCGAAGATCACGGACCTTCTGAAATCCTACCGGGTTCCTCCTAAACCCTAAACCCTAGATCCTGAACCCTACCCAATGCAACGCTCCCCCTGAAATTTGGGTAGCTGCCAAAAATTAGGGTCCATTTTCTGGGTACCCTAAAACCTTAGTTGCCGTATTGTACTAAGGACCCAAAAAGGGACCAGATTGTTGACAACCACACAGTTGGGTAAGCCAACGGTGAAGAAACTCCCAACTCCGAGCTTAGAGTCGTCGGTAAGACTGTTGCAAGTGGGATTGGGGCGCAAGATCACGGGCTCGGGGGTGTAGTGAGTTAGGGGTCTAGGGCTTTAGGGCTTGAGTTATAGGGTTATGGGGTTTAGGTGTACGTAGTCACAGGGTTACAGGGTTTGGGGTTATAGGGTGAGGGGTCTAGGATTGCAGGGGTCAGGGTTAATGTCGTTTACCGATTAAGATACCCCCCCGGATTAGACGGGGCCGTCCCGGGCATGTCATGGGCTTAATGAAGAAGTCCATTAGACCCCACCCCTATAGTACCGGAGCTCGCCTAAACCCCCCCGATTAGACGGGGCCATCCCCGAAAATCCCCGAAGTAAGGATTTAGGGGATTTAGAGGCTTATGACTTAACCCTAAACCCCAAACCCTGAACCCTAAACCGTAAAGAGCTCATGATGGCACACTTTTCCTCATTTGACCAGCTCATGTCCGAGACCAGGGATTTGCAGGCCCTTTGCTTTGACCTAGAAAGCCCGAAGCTTTGAGATGGAAGGCTCAGAGATCCCTGGCCTTGGGATCCCTGGGATTTCGGTGATATCTTCTGCTGCCAGAAACAGGTGGTTCCCTAATTAAACCGTATATAAAAAGAGTAGGTTTGGCAAGTTTTCCAAGGCTGCCCCTTTGCAGGCCCCGAACCCCCCCGAATAGCAGGAAACCCCCCCCGATTAACAGGGTCCGGCCCGGGACCAGGGATTTGCAGGCCCTTTGCTTTGACCTAGAAAGCCCGAAGCTTTGAGATGGAAGGCTCAGAGATCCCTGGCCTTGGGATCCCTGGGATTTCGGTGATATCTTCTGCTGCCAGAAACAGGTGGTTCCCTAATTAAACCGCATATAAAAAGAGTAGGTTTGTCAAGTTTTCCAAGGCTGCCCCTTTGCAGGCCCCGACCCCCCCCGAATAGCAGGAACCCCCCCCCGATTAACAGGGTCCGGCCCGGGACCAGGGATTTGCAGGCCCTTTGCTTTGACCTAGAAAGCCCGAAGCTTTGAGATGGAAGGGTCAGAAATCCCTGGCCTTGGGATCCCTGGGATTTCGGTGATATCTTCTGCTGGCAGAAACAGGTGGTGGCGGCCACATTTGAACCCCCAACCCCCTCAACCCCCTCAAGTCCTTGAACCCCTTCAAACCCCCAACCCCCTATTGTAATAATACTATACTACTGTACTGCTTCTATTACTAGACTTCAATACTACTACTAAACTATTGTACTACTACTATACTACTGTTCTACTATTATACTGCTGTAATACTGCTATACTACTGTACTACTACTGTACTACTGTACTACTACTATACTACTGTAATACTACTATACTACTGTACTACTACTATACTACTGTACTACTACTATACTACTGTACTCCTATTGTACGACTGCAATACTTTACTAAGTACTCTCTATCTACTTACTACTATACTTAATAATTAACCCCATCCCCACATAATCGGGGGGGGCCGGGAAAAACTTGAACCCATGAACAAGTTCAAGCGGGCTAACCTTGACAGCGGGGGGGGGGGAGGGGGTTTGTTAATCGGTATCCAACATTACAGGGTTTAGGGTTATGTGGTTACAGGGTTATGGGGTTCTAGAAGCAGGGTTTACATGGTTCGGGCTGCTTGTTTTCTTCAGAAACTCCCAAGTCAGTTTGAAGTCAAGCGGTCAACACGCGGGCGGTGGGTAGGGGGGGCAAGTTGCAAGAGTGGTATACATGCCTCACTGATTGAAGCGGGTTCTGGGGTGTGCTCTGCTGTAGTTCTATTCGGGACTGTAACGGGAGAACCCACACTATGCATTCCGGTCCATACTAGGGTCTTTGGTTTTCAAATCTCTGTCTGGCCATGAAGGGCCCGAGTTTAGCATGGGTTTAGGGTTTAGGGGTTTAGGGTTTAGGGTTTGTGGAGTAAGGTCCTTACCAGCAGGACACGCACCAATTTACCAAAAATCCCCGCTGCCATGCATTACCTGAGTGTGAACCGCAACAATAATACTACAGTCAAAACTCCGAATGTCTGACACTTCTTACTCCATGAAGACCGGAAATCAACCCTCGAAGCGAACCAGGGTTGAGGGTTTCGGGACTTCCCAAGCCCTGGCCCTAAGCCTTCAACCCGACGTCAACCATGATAAATCCCTTGAGGCAACCATTCTAGATTCTCAGGACTTAGGAATCCATCAAGAGTCTAGGTTAAAAGATCCTTGACACGAAACCTAAGACCAAACCCACAACTCAGGCTCCCACCCGCATGGCTTCCATGTCGAGACCGCCTTCATCTATGTACTGGCAGGCCTCAAAGGGGGTTGTGGTTTGGGTTTAGGGTTTGGGGTGTGGGGTTTGGGCCTGAACTTAAAAATCTTTTGAGTCATTCACAATCTACCTCATACTAGGCTGGTTTGAGTCAGATGAGATTCCAAAGACCCCTACAACCATGCCCTAAACCCGTGTTGTCATTGCTGTCAAGTCTGAGGGAGCTTGGCGGTAGGTTGGGGCGTTGTCGCTATGAATTTGTCCTTTTTTTTATTGCCTAAAACATGTGAAAATGAAAACTGAATCTTCAGGACGTGTTCTGGAGTCTACATCCCGATACTCAGGGGGCCAGTATAGGGGTCTGAATGGCGCTTCATGGTCCCCATATTGTCATAGTGCAGTATACCGTAAGACTCTGCGATTGGATGCTACCGGCGACCATGTACTAGCACTTATGGGTTGAGCGCGAAGCCAGCCTCTTTCCGGGACCACTGCTTCTCTTTCATGAGGCGCACCACCTGGGCCTGACGCTGTACAGGCGAGAACTCTTTCGGGAGCTTTTGAGAGTATAGGCATTTGGAGCTCTGAGGGTTTGGGGTCGTAGGGTTTAGGACCCCCGTCCACCACCAACCCACCCCCACCCACCCCCGAACCCGAAAACACTAGACTTCTACCGGAGACCTCCATGTCGTCGTCCTTCGCATCAGTCGGCTGCTCTTTCTTCGGGGCCTGCCAAGTGGTTTGGGGCTCTAGAGGGTGAGTCTGAGACTCAGGGCAGCGCCTGGACGCCCAAGGTTGAATCCCAAGAAATCATCTCCAAAACCAGACACGACCACAACGGAGGAGTTTGCCGTGCCAAAGCTCAACACACGCTCGGTAACCCTAGACTCTAGGCCCCAAACACAACCCAATGACAAGAACCCTAAAGCACCCTAAACCTGGTCCCTCGACCGGGTCGTAGACCTAGCAAGACACATACTATGCTGCATCAACTGCTCTGCCTTGCCGGCGGACTGCAGCACGTCGTACCTCAGGCTTGGGGATTTACGGCTTAGCGGGTGGCTGCTTCCGGGTATGCCTCACAGTGGAGTTTTCCAAACCCCTGTTCTATGCTGCTCTTACCACGAAGGCCCCTATATATAACCTCGCTAAAGCGCTATATTATGAATATATCAACAGATAAAAGATACCCTGCAAACCCGATTCCAGTTGTTTAGGTCCGTACTAATATGCCTTTCCTGGAAAAACTCACTTACGGTAGTTCACAATTCAAGTAAGTTTTTGGTGGCTCACAATGAAATAAGTTTTGGTGGTAAATGGAAGTGCATGCCCTAAACCCTTAGACCCTGCATGGTTTTGGGGCTCCTACTCGGCGATTTTACGAAGCAACATGCACTTCAGGCCCTTTGTGAGCTGAAAACACCAATTTAAAACTAAGCAAGGCGCTCTAAGCCCTGCTTTTAAAACCAACCCTAAACCCTAAACCCTAAATCCTAAAACCCTAAACCCTAAATCCTAAACCGAAAAAATACACAGCAAATGAGCAACCCTAACACTGACTCTAAAACCCTCGAGCCGAAAGGCCTGTAATTGAACAAATGAAACAAGCATTATAACAAGCATCCTAAAGGCAACTCCAGAAAGTTGGAATATGGATTAGTGGTAGGATCCCCTATAATTTACCTTAAAGGGGCTACGATAATGGTATTCCAGCTTTCTGGCTTCTACTGTAGGGATTGGGGGCTGAAGATTTCGGGATCCTACAAGACCCTCGGCGCTTGGGCCACCGGGCTCTCCTGCGGACCACCAGGCCAAGACCTAGCACAAGCTGTTTTTAAAGCTAGCAACGAGTTGTTCTAGGGTTTTCAGGTTTTAGGAGTTAGGCCTAAGTTAGGACTTACGGGACGAGACATGGGGGCCATGGTGATTTCATGGAGTTTGCGTCGGGGAGTTTGGTTATCGAGTCTTTCTAGCCATTTCGCAGAGCGCTCGTCCAGTCGCTTGATATGGTTGTTGATTGTGCCTCGTTTATGTGTGTTTGTATCAGACGTTGATCGTGTCTTGCAGGCTTTCATGACATGTTTGATTTCGGGCTTCGGGCATTGCGTAAGTGAGGTACATAGGTACATGGGTCGTGGTGCCATAAATACCCTATAGGGGGGGGGGGTTGACCCAAGGATGATCATCGCAAACTATATACGGTATGCGGTTATTGTGCAAGCTATCTCAATCGCCCCCTGTAGTCATCAAGGATCCATATATGGTCACGCGCTCCGCGGCCCCCCCCCCCCTCCCCCCCCAAAGGTCAATGGTCCGGATATAGGGTGGGACCCCCCCTCCCCTGTGGTGTGGGGTGTGGGGTCCCTCTTCCCCCTGTGGGGTGGTTGTGGGGTTTTGGGGTTTAGGGTTTAGCTTAAGCTTTTGAGTGTTGGGTTTGCGGTTACAAGGTATAACGCTTCGAGTCGACAAGGGCTTAGGGAGGACTTGCGGTGTATGTTCTGCTTTAGGCTTAGAGCCTGCAGTTAGGTGAGGTTTAGGGTTGGGTGTAGGGTTGGAAGTACAACTTAAGGTTACTCAAAACAAGGGCACGCGCTGCGTTATAGGGTTTACGGCTTGCTTGCGAAGGGCTTGCGTGTGAGCCCTGGCCGCCAGCACCATCCCACCATCCAGTGACAGCTCCAACGGCTCCGACCCCTGTCCGCACACGCCAGCCCCCCCCCCCCCCCCTCTCCCCCCCTAGCAGACCATACCATTGGGGGGGGGGGGGGGGCTGGGAACGCCAGACGCCTGACCATATATTGGCCTTGAAGTGGTGAGAGAGTTGTTTGCCCAAAAGTGTGCCGAAGATCAACCCCATCAGCCCTAAACCCTATAAGATCCTGCTACAAGCCTTAAATAAAGCCCAATCCTCATCCTCAGGCCCTAAGACCTGAACTCCAAAGCTAAACCCTAAACCTTAAAACCCTTAGCCTCCAACGGGGGGCCTTAATAATTAGAATGGGGCTATAATGAGGAACCCCAAAATAGTATAGGCAACTATGAAGGCCCCTATATTGAACCCCCGATCCCAGACCTCCAGCCCTGTAGGTCCTTTCAAACCCCTCAAAACCTAAAGCCCAAAGCAAAAAATCATTCAGTTCCAACATAGCAGCGGTATCATTTAACAAAACCCACCTGGGTTTGGAGAAAAAGACTGAAAATCCAGCACATTTCCTAAAGGCACACCCACAAACCCTTCAACCCCATACACTACACCCTAAAACCAAGGAATAGTCCTTAATTAAGGGGTTTTGGAGTCTCTGGGAAGATACTCTTCCTTAACCCAAATACTCTGCTTGCCAGGCCCCGTCTACCCGCCTTGCCCCAACTCGGCTACCGGGTTGAGCCGTAAACCCTGAACCCCTAAACCGAGCTATAGGAAGGTTATAGGGCTTCAGGTGTCGGGTTTAGCTACTCCTTAATTTAAGGATATTGGAGTCTCTCGGTTCCCTCACCCTAAGGTTCCAACGGGATAGCGCGTGGGGTTAGATGAGCAATGCACCTGAGTAGTTAGAATGGGGCTTCGGAGTATGTTCTACCATATTTAGAATAGGAACCTTACAAATCATTGAGCAATAGCAATGGTAACTGCTTAGGCTTCTAAATCTCCGTATGGCCCTGGGAGTAAGACTGAGTAAGGTTTCTGGCATCACAGATTTTGCGATCTCGAAGGCCCCCTTGTGCATTGGGGCTTCAGAATACACTATGATTGCTTTTCCCTCCTAGCCTCTACAGTTACAGGGTGTACGTCAGCCAACCTGCTACTTGGGGCTCATGAGTTCTGGAACGGGTTCTATACCGTAGAAGCCAGAAAGTTGGAATATCATTATCGTAACCCCTTTAAGGTAAATTATAGGGGATCCTACCACGAATCCATATTCCAACTTTCTGGAGTTCCCTTTATATGGGTTGTACACACACGTCACCGGTGGTTTGCAAAAAATCCCTGACACGGGTGTCGGCTCTTGGCTGAGCCGGATTTGGGGTATCAGGTTCGTGAGTTGCGGCAGCAGCTGGACATAACCAGGACAACCTTGAACCCTACACTTCCACCCTTAACGCAATGTTATGTACATACATATGTATATATATATATATATATATATATACATATGTATATATATATATATATATATATATATATGTATATGTATATATATATATATATATCTGTAGATGTATACCCGACCTAAACGTTTCAAGCCAGTGCCGAGGCCCAACCTGCCGTTGCAGAGGCGGCGGAATGAGACCGGTGGACACTGCCTGCTCAGTTCCCGGTTGAGGTTTAGGGCTTGGGGTTTAGGGTTTAGGGTTTTAGGGTTTTAGGGTTTAAGGTTTAGGGTTTGGGGTTTAGGGTTTGGGGTTTAGGGTTTACGGGATAAAGGCCTGCTCAGTTCCCACTTACACTGAAGGGTCGTTGCCAACCGCTGGTGTCACCACCGCTGTTGGTCCAGCTTTGTGTCTTGCCGAACCTTTAAACACTATCTGTACTTATTCCGTATTTGCTCATTCATTCCAAGTATTATCTATGTGTGTCTAAATATTTGTTTATTTTTGGTCTATACTGACAAGAACACATACATACACACAGATACACATGCACATACATGCATACATACAGAAAGACAGACACCATACAAGATGCGACTGTACTTCTAAGAGATGGCATATCCAAGCTGAGGACCAATTTAATCTGACACCCAAACCAGAGCACCGACTGCACAGAGCCCGAACCTTGCCAGCCCGGGTTTGAACGAAAGTCGCTAATATCCGAAACCCTAAAACCCTAAACCCTGACATCCCGAACCCTAAATCCCAAGCACAATAATACCAGCAGCTCAAGAAGCGCCTCTTTGAGTATCTGCTGCGCCGCTTTAAGATCACCTGACTCTGCCAACTCGGAGGCCTCACCATGAGAATTGAAATGGGAGTTTCCGAACATAGGAGAACCTTATTTGGGGGTCCTTGTAATAAGGATCCTACTGTTTAGGGTACTACGTATATGACGGTCCCCTATTCTCGGAAACTCCCAAATGGCTTTAAGGTTTGATTTGGCATGCGTAGTACAGGCAGTTCTCTAAATTTGGGTACGATTATAAGTCTTCTTTACAAGGGTTCCGCACTAGGTTTTTGGCAACATAAAAAGGGACCCTAATCTAGAGAACTGCGCATAGGGGCCTTCATAAATACTGCAGGGTTTGGGGGTGTATAGTAGTATACCAGTAGTAAACTATACAGCGACTGTAGCGGTATATGAGGTATATGATGTCATCTGATCGCTAATTATTCAGGGCCCCCCCCCTGTTCCTACTGCGAGTCAGAAAGGGACGGGGGTGTTAAGAATGTAGGGCGGGTTTGGGATTTAGGGCTTATATAGGGATTAGGCTCATGGCTTAGCATTGAGGGTGTATAGGATTTAGGATCGCGCCACGACCACTTCTTTTCAAGCGGGAGGGCTAGGGTGAGGGAGCAAACGTGCGTGGTGTTTGGGATGTTTATGGCCTATGGTAGTGCAGGGTTTGGCTGGCAGTGAATCACAAGACTGAAACCAGCGACTCAATCTCCATTGACAGGGCGAATACAGCACTTAGACTCTGTGCGCTATAATCAAATTCTAAACTTCCATGCCAACATTGGCACATCAGAATGCGCAAGCACAATTCCCAAACCTAAGCCCTTTGCACAAGTGGGAAGTCCGGACTGCGTGGCCGTTCAGCTGTAGCCCTACAGCTCGATGTGAGCATTAGCAAGTGCCGAAGCTGTAACTCTGGCGCAACCTTCGGGCTGCCCATGGAACAAGGCTTCTGTTAAAAAGTCTGGAACTGAATGTCCTGTTGCAAAGTCCGCCGCTGTCCAGTTGCGGGAGTTGCGCAGATCGAGTCGTGCTCCCGCAGCAATAAGGGCGGCAGCACCTTCGAATTGACCTGACATCACTGCTGCCATTAGGGCCGTCTGACCTGCATAGTGGTATGCCCATCTTGTAAGCAACGTCCTCTTGCCAAACTGGTATTGAAGTCCCTTTGTGAGGAAAAGGGCGCGCAAAGGCTTGTTTGGCCGAATGGTTGCATTGACATCAGCCCGTAGTTCGATCAAGCGCAGAATGACCTGGGGGGGGGGGGGGTTCTGCAAACTGAAGAAATTCCCTACTTTAGGGACACTCAGAGGAGGGGTCCTACGGTTTGGGGATTCTGCATTTGGGTCCCTAGTTTCTGAAACTCCTGCCTCAGCACTGCCTCCTCGACCTGCTGATGCCAAGTACAATGATCTGTTCAAGCGTGTTTGGGGCAACTGCTTCTCGGTGCCAGCTTGGGTGACAAGCTCTTCCAGTGCTGCCATTGTTCCAAAGGCGGAACTGTACTCGAAGGAGGCGTCTCCCAGGAGATTGACCTTGAAGATTCGGCCCCCAGCTGTACACAGAATTCGGATGCCTTCGGGATCGTCTGCAGCAGCTGGCCCTGCAAGAACTGGATGAAGACCAGAGTCGACTGGGGCTCTTGCGGTGATCAGCAAGCGCATGCAGTCGTGGTGCTTGAAGAAGCTGCAGATACCGAGTGCGCTGCATCCAGCCGGTACTCCTGTGATCGGCTGGCTTTTGCGAGTCCAGCGATCTACGTTCGCCCGAAGCTGGAGCAGGCCCTGGATCACGAGCGGATCTCCGCGCAAAGCTGCGAAGTGCAGTGGTGACCATCCGCCACTGAACTCGTCAATCCTTGTAAAGCCGTTCTGGAAGAGGAACTCTTGTGCAGCGAAGGCCGCGGCATAGGTCCCCAAGCCGGGGTCTGGTGCAAAGCCGGGCACCAAGTCATACACCGCGGATACATCGAAACCTCTCAAGTAAACGTTCTGCTTGTTGAGAAGAAACCGATAGCCGACAACATCCAGTCTCTTCAGAAGGAGCTTCATCTTGCACAGAAGTGCATGCTGAAAAACCGGAGCAAGCTTCATGCGATCTTTTTCGTCCGTGAAATGGCCTTCGCCCGCCGGTTGCACGACGAAAAATGGGGCAAAGGAGGATGTCAACTCTAACTCCGTGCTGCTCTTAATCATGATAATGTAGGGATCGTTCGGCGCCAGTTCTCGAAGGACTCTCTCCGTGCGGCACCATGCTCGGGCGTTCCAAGAAAATGTGCTGAACACTTTTCCAAGCGAGCTGGTTTCCACGACAGGGCAGAGGGCGAAAAAGAACTTACACCTTGCGATGTATGAAGGGATGCTGTCAACAGCTCTCGCAAGGTTCGCTCTTGGACTGTCTCGCCCGGTGCCCGGGCTTGGGAACTCCAGTTGTGGACAAGAGAAATAGTCGTACCAAACGTAAAGAGGCTCCGCACGCAGGTCGGACAGCTGCAACGGCCGTGCACTCGGAAAGAAGGTCTCTGTGTACATATCCAGTGGGATTTGCTGCAAATCGGAAAGCATGTGCTTCAGCGCATCCTGCAGAACTCGAAGTTGCTTGCACTCCGGATCCGGATGATGGCGGCCCACCCACTCGTGCGAAACGAAGATGGCGCTGCCCAAGCTTTCGTCAAACTCGACCAACAGCTTGTTTGCCTTCAACTGCTCATGGGGCACGACCTCCAACAGGTGGACGAATTTACAAAGAAGTGCATGTATACTACATGCTAGTAAATAAAGTATAGACCGAAAGAAAGAAAGATAGGTAGGTAGACAGGCAGATATGTAGACACGATAGTCGCATTTTGTGCAGTGTACTCCTGCCCAGTGTGTCATTGCATGCGCTTGTGTGGAAATCGAAAAGGGGGAGAGGGAAAAAGAAGAGAGACAGAGAGAGAGAGAGAGAGAGAGAGACAGAGCGACAGAGAGACAGAGAGCGAGAGCGAGAGCGAGAGCGAGGGCGGGAGGGGAGAAAGACAGAGGGAGGGAGAGGGACAACGAAGCTGCCTTAGTGAACGGGCCAGCTCCTGAAACTGCAATCGCCATATGTCAAGAAAGCTAACCATGGCGTTTAGAAACTGTTGGGGTTGAGGCCTTCAACAAAACCCGACGCCCCTGCTGACACTGACATCATTAATGACTACACTCCCAAGCCTCCAAAGTGGACTCCGAAGCCCACACCACCCTGAAACCACGAAGCATAAACCCTGGCCCCGAACACCAAACACATGGGACCAAAGCCTCCGCCATGTCCAGCAATGCTTCCGCATGAACTGTGTACATGGGGAAAAAGCCTTCTGTGGCCTGGGACGTGGTGGAACCTCGCGAGAAAAAGACTTGGAGCCTTTAGGGCGCTTCTGTGCAGGGATTTGAAATCTGGGGAGGGGGGGGCGGGGGCGGTGATATTCTGATGTCAGGGGGTTAGAACCTCCTCAGGAATCACCCGGTATCTCCGAGATCCGAAGAAGGTGTGAGGAGGCTTGCATCGAAAACTGCCGTAGAACGTTTCTTACTCTAGAAACCCTACTTTCGATACGTAGCTATGTGCTTCGTAGACCCTTTATTCGAATTCATGCGGGTTCGGGGTGTAAAAATCTCGGAAAGGGGAGAAAGGAGAGCCCGTGGAGAACACTTAATCATAAACTCCCCTTAGGGGTTCATGCGCCCATCAAGAATATACTTTGGCCGATGAGAGGCCCCTCTGTAGGTACTTTGAGGTCTATATGTCCAAAACCAGCCCAAGTAGTTGGCAAGTAGACTTCCTAAACCCTAAACTCTAAACCTAAACCTCATAAACCCCGGCAGCTCGAAAAACAAGTCTGACCATCGCCAGCCCCATAGATCTGACGCGCAATATCTCTTCATAAGGTAGGCAATCAATGTGGATAGGTGTGCATATATATATATATATATATATTTATTTATTCAGAACGGGGGACCCTGGGAGTGCACTTTTTCCGTGATTTACGCGCGAGTCTTTCGAAAAAACCAAAAAAAACAAAAAAAACATAAAAACCAAAAAAACCAAAAAAACCATAAAAACCAACAAAACCAAAAAAAACAAAGATCCGACACTCTCCGGCCATGGACACCTCAGTCCAGGAGTCTCTGATAATTGTTTTTTTTTTGTTTTTTTGTTTTTTTTGTTTTTTTGTTTTTTTTGGTTTTTTTGGTTTTTTTAGTTTTTTCGAAAGACTCGCGCGTAAATCACGGAAGATGCGCACTCCCAGGGACATTACGTAGCATGGCCAACGACTAGATAGCAGTGCGAAATACCACACTTGCACATCAGCACTTTTTGTTCTCAGGATGATGAGAAGCTTTGTGGGTATGCGAGGTGCATCAAAACTACAGCGGCGCCACCTTGAGTGCAGACTTCATACCACACACACACAAGCAAACACTACATAATTCTATATGGATTGCTATTTGGGTATCCCTGCATGCACGTGTGACGCTATAACCCGCTATAAGCTCACTTCTTCATGTTCTTCTTCTTCTGGATCTTCATGACGATTCTCTTCTTGCTAATGTTGCAACCATAGGATTTCGACTTCTGGGCGTTCTTGATGACTGGCCGGAGGTACGAGGCAGTCTTGGCCGTGATTGCCTCGTTGTGCTTCTTCGCTGTGTACAGCATAATGAATTTGTGCCGATTGCCTCTGAGCTCATTGAAGTTGGTTGTGAAGTTTCGAAACCATGAGAAAACCTGCTCACAAATCGAGGTGTTGATGCCTTTGATGATTTTCCCCAACTTCTTCCGATGACCTTACTCGTTATTGTTTTTCCGACCTGCATTCCGATTTCTACTGCTGCTACGGACACTTCTGAAACTATTTGGATTTCCGAATAAAAACTTATACTAAAACTTGTCTCAATCTAGTTTCGCGGATTGCAAGAGCACGACTTCGCATGCCTGTACGCGTGGAACCAATCGACTATGTACTCCTTGATTTGGTCGAGGGCCTTGTGCTTACGGGCCATCTTCACAAGCGTGCACGCGCGGTCGTACACGAAGTGCTTGCAGTTGGGGTATAGCCAAAGTACGGACTCCAATGACTGAATAACGTACTCGTTGCACTCGGGCTCGTGCATAACGACCATGCTCAGGATGCGACCGCTGTTGGGGTCGCAACACATGAACCATCCGTTGCTGTACTTTGAGGGCGCGGATTTTTTGCTTCGGGGACGACCTGCGTGCTTTTGGGGAGCATGGGCACAGCGAGGCTTCAAGGAGAGACACCCATCACCAACCAAACAGGTTACCGAAGTCCTTTTCTTGGGAGGAAAAAGGCTGGAGTGACAAAAGGCCGAGTACACATCTAGACTTTCATCCGAGATCTCATCGTCAATCACGAGCGTCTTGTGCAAACCCAGCGTCTGAAACTCCTGTAGTGCAAGATGATAGAACATGCACGCTTGATGTAGCTTTCGAAAATCAGCCACCACGTTCTGGTCGTCTTGGCTGTCTTGCTTATTGAAAACCACGTTATAAGCATGCTCGATTGCCCTTGTTGCCACATGTCCTCGAAAGAGGAGTTCTTCGTGGTAACGCATGTACTGCAAGCAAAATGCTTTCGTGGAGCTTACGAATAACATCTGTTCGTCAAGATCCTCGATGGAGAGCACGTTCACCTTTTCGCTGTTTTCCCACCGAAAGTTGTAAGCATAAGTAGCTCGACAATTGCGCGATGTACACTGTTTGGGCCGATGTATGATTTCGACTGGACCGGACATGGTATAGACAATCGCTGGGATCGCGCGGTCTTTGTCGATCAAAGTATACCTTCACACCCGTCGAGAACGCAACTGTTGAGAGGACACGTGATTTCACGGACTTGTACCTGAGCTGATGGGCGACGCATTACGCCTCCACTACCACCGCACAAGTCACACAACCCCAACGAAGCCGTCACTTTGGTTTGGACTAACCCGAATAATGTTGTGGTCGGAGATTGCACCAGCATAGCGAGATCACCCAAACTGATGAAGGTTTCCTCACCGCCATCGAAGTATCGAACATTTCCTTCACGACACCAAAGGCCTTGCTGAACGAAGCCCACTACTTTGTTTCTGCAAGCACGAACATTCGTACATCGATATAACAGCGTAGCAGCATGCATTAACACATGATATGTGCTGTCTTCGAGTCTAAGAAACCTGTGAAGTGATGGTCACGATGACACAAGTACATGCCGTCTGCACCCGCTGCGAACGAAGACATTGGCATAAAATGAACCGCGAATTGTGTGATCATGCCATTGAGCTCCGATACACGAAATGGACCGTGCGTATTTGCTTGGACTGGTAAGCCGAACCACTGAAGAACTTGTACTCCACATACATCATGTAGGACTTCATGGTTGCAATCCCCCCCTGAAAGGTCTGCTCCTTCCCCTTCTTCAATGATATCCATGCTATCATGTTCTTCCTCGGCCATCTGCATATTTACTATCTCCTCCAACTCCATCTCGAGATCATCGAGTTCCCCATCATTGGCCTCGTGCTCACCCATGAAAGGAGGATTTGGGGGTGCTGATGATGAAGGCGCTGTGTTTGTTGACGATGTCTCTAGGTGAGAAGGCATCGATGATGTGGATGGCGCGGCCTTGGATATCGCCCCCGAGGTGCATGGATGCTTCTTTTCAGGAGAATCGAGATCAATGGTAACAGGTCCGCAACGCTTCAAATTACGGAAAGCTGTGTCAACCTTCTCCTTCTTCACACGAATGCCGAGGTCGATGTCGTTTAGGATACGTGGGTGAATTTGTCGTGGTGTTTGGGGTTCGCCGAACAACGACACACCTCGAATAGTCATCGTGCGTGGTATTGTTTCACCTTCGAATAGACGATGCAAGACTTCTTGCGACCAAACCATGTCCTGGTGGAAATTTTCGGGGAGTTGGTGCTTGCTGGGGTTCTTCTTGTAGTTCATGAAGATTTCCTTCTGGGATGGCACGAGAAGGTCATGTGGTTCATCAGCTTGCCACTGAACAAAACGAACGTTCGTTTTCTCAACCTTTGCCAAACGCCAATACAAGCCATGATTGGTGATGACAATGACATGTGTACGGGCGAGTATGGCATCCATGTCCTCCACCTCGTCGATGCTGGAAAATGACGGCTGGATCAATTCCAGAAACTGCTTGTGCGGAATTTCCCAGATGTTCGATGCCTTCATATTCTTGTACGCTTCTTCGTCTGTCTGCCGGTTGTACGGGTTGTTGCAAGCCTGTCTACCTGCACCCTGCTCAAAATAGGCAGAGGAATACCGTGCCCAGACCGTCGCATCTTCTTCCTTACAATGTTTGTAAGAATTTGTTTGTTAACAACTACATTACACACCCTTGCTATGACGGTCCCAACATATACGCGCATACTTGGACTGACCCCCCAATAAGCAGAGCAACATGAAGTATTGCACATGTGGTTTCACGCCCCAATAAGCGAAACAACTATACAGTTGAAGTTAACGGTGGGACACATACGAACATACTTGGATTGACCCCCCAATAAGCAAAGCAACATGAATTATTGCTCATGTGGTTTCACGCCCCAATAAGCGAAACAACTCTACACGTGAAATTAAGGGTCAAGCCCATACCCCCCAATAAGCAAAGCAACATGAAGTATTGCACGTGAGGTTTCACGCCCCAATAAGCGAAACAACTATACAGTTGAAGTTAACGGTGGGACACATACGAACATATTTGGATTGACCCCCCAATAAGCAAAGCAACATGAATTATTGCTCATGTGGTTTCACGCCCCCAATAAGCGAAACAACTCTACACGTGAAATTAAGGGTCAAGCCCATACCCCCCCAATAAGCAAAGCAACATGAAGTATTGCACGTGAGGTTTCACGCCCCAATAAGCGAAACAACTATACAGTTGAAGTTAACGGTGGGACACATACGAACATATTTGGATTGACCCCCCAATAAGCAAAGCAACATGAATTATTGCTCATGTGGTTTCACGCCCCAATAAGCGAAGCAACTCTGGGTTGACCCCCCAATAAGCAAAGCAATATGTAAGCAAAACATTTGCATGCCAATATGTAGGGATTACATAACCTTTGTGCGACTGCTAGTTGGCTTGAGTGTGGCGACTGTTCTTATATGCAATAACAGGAATAATCGTCAAGAAAAGTTTCCGAGGGGTTCAAGAAAGCTTTCAGGAATGATGCATCCATCCGCTGCAGGTTCCCATCATCAAAGATGCCCGGCTTGTACTTGGTCAGAGGTTCCGCCTTGAAAAAATCCAAGTGCTTTGCGGTCACGATGGAAGGAATCAAATCTTCGCGCTGCGATGCATCTATCTCATACTTGGATTGACAGAACGCTACGACCTTTGAAGCCAGCGATTTACCTGTTCTGGTTTTGCCAATCCAGGTAATCGAGTGCTGCCTGATGGACCCTAGCATGGGGACGAGGATCACATCAAAAAACCAAGGTACGAGGCTCTTGAAAGTGAAGGGCCAGTGTTCAAGAGTTTTTGCGTTCTGACGTCCCCTCATGTGGTTTTGCAGTGCCGTGATGACCTTAGCCTCTGACCAATTCTCAATGGGACTGCCGACGGTGTGGATCTGATTGTCTGTCCATTCCATGAACTGGTTGGCATTATTGGTTTTGGGCCCATGCTCCTTGATGAAACGATAGCCTGCATCCCTTGCAGTCTGGTCTACCGTGAGCTTCTTTTCGAATTTGGGTTGTATCACCCAATTCCTAATCTGCATCCCGCCCATATTGTCCAACATGTACGTGAGGCCGATCAAGGCTTGCCGTGTGTGCGTCCCCCACTCAAACCGCATGGAGATGCCATAGCACATCTTAATGGCTTCACTAGCGTTGATCTTGTTCCGGTGCAAATAGACGTGCTTCAAAATGTGCACATACTTGGAGTTAGGATCCTCACCTTCCGGAGGCGTAGCAGGAAGGATGATTAGCTGCATAGTGTACGACACCTGCGGTTCGTGACGAAGACGGAAAGGTTCCGGCAAGCCTTTGTAATTGCACGTCATGCACTCTTTCACGAGCTTGGACTCGAAGAAATCCGGTGTGACATCAACTTTGGCATGTTGGATAGCATCACAAAACTGTTCTACCTTGCCCGAGATCGAGTCAAGGAAACGAACTGGTAGATCACCTACTTTCACGTCACCGGCATCACGGATGGACGACAAGGGCCTGGTTTCAGGGCGTTTGAGCTTCAGCCCCTGACCGGTGGTGCGCATGATGGCCTCATCGAATGTAAGTGCGCCATCCCGCCCTCCAAGTTCACGAAGCAAACCTGGTATGTGATCACCACGAAACTCCGACATGGCTTCAGAGATACGAAGTGAGAAAACCAAGAAAGACTGTTTGAGCTTTCGTGGCAACGATATAACAGCTTGCGAACGATAAAGAAAGAAAGTCGGTTGTGTACTCATACGTTGGTACACATGTGTGTAAACAGAGTTGAATGAATGCTTGTTTAAGTATGTGTGTGTGTGCGTGTATCCTATTCTCGCAGGTTGTTCCTTAGGCGGCTCGACAATGCGATACTTAAATTTTGTGGAAAAAAGTGCACTCCCACAGCCCCCCGGACTCTATTTATTTATATTTATGTTTATATTTATATTTATATTTGTATATACTTGTATGTATTACTGTATATATACACTTGTCTATTTATCGGTTTATTCAGCTACTTGATATCTTATCAGTTTGTCTCACGGACTAGGTGTCTATTTCATTTACTTGTTTAAGATACTTACACATTTGTGAATGTGTTTCAATAAGTAGTTGTTCCTGTATAGCTTTTGAAGCCATCCGATAAGCGAGAACAACACTTCACATGAACACTTCCTAACAAATAACAAACACCAAAGAGCCTTATAATGATTTATGTTTCTAATTGCTGGCTGGATGCGCAAAGACTTTGCGTACTGCATCAGGGCGGATGTGCTTCCGCGAAAAGGGCTGCAAGCCATGGCCCGCAAAGGAAAAACCCTCCACGCCAGGGGGGGGTTTAGCGCAGGGTTTAGGGTCCAGGAGTTCTGATTGTTCGGTGTGTTGAGGGGTGTCGAGGGTCTATGGTTAACATAAAGAGAATGCGCTGTGCGCTGGTCCTTATCGCTTGTACAAGTGCTTTCGGGGTCAAGGGCTGAAAAGACTGCAAGATTCACTGGTCCACCCTAGGGGTGCTGCTTGAGGGTTGGGGGGTTAGTAGGGGTTGCTTAAAGGCTTTCGGGTTTAGAGGAGTTTAAAGATGGAGCGCGCCGGGCGAGTGCTAAAGGTCAGCTTTCCAACCCTTCAGGTGTTGCTGACCTTGATTGCGGTCACGCCAATTTGCGTGCGACGACAGCACGATGAGAGAATCAAACAATCGCAAACAAGCGCGTCGCTTTCATCATGCTTGACTGCTGGGGCACAGGGTTCGGACGGGTTATCTCAAACTTAAGTACGACTTGCGGCTGAAAGATGAGCGCAGGTTTGCACCGAAAACAACTTTTTTGTTCAAGGTTTCAGAAGATAGGAGTTAGGGCTCCGCCTAAACCGTAAGGGTCCATGTATCTATACAGTATATACTTCGGCCGCCTAGAGATACCACTTCAAAATTCAATCAGTATATACTAAAGGAAATATGGGTCCATGGATCCTTACGGAAACTTCAGAAGCACGCAAGTGCCTGCACCTGAAGAGACTGAAGCCTGGAGTCGTAGGGGCTTGGCTGGCTCTTCAAGGTGTTTCGGGTTCATTAGTGGGTTTAGGGTTTAGGGTTTAGGGTTTAGGGTTTAGGGTTTAGGGTTTAGGGTTTAGGGTTTTGGTTCAATGGGGACCCCTACCCTATAATGGGCTATATGATGGGTATATAGTAGCTATATTCAGGGTGTATACCTAGGGGTCCTTATTACGGGCCCCTCCTTTTCATCTAGACCTGAATTGTAGAAGCTGTTCTTTGCTGCTTACCAAATTCGAAGGTCTATAATCACAAGAGCAGCATGCTCATGAAAAGGTCTGGGCAGAGTTCAGAGCATAAAGTACCTGTATAGGAGCCCCGTTAACTAAGGCCAAGGTACACACTTTCTACTCTAGCAACATGGACCCTTAGGGCATTATTTGACGTTGACATTAAATTATGCATTTGGGATTTCGGCGTTGTGATCTGCAGGAGAGGGCATACCAAAAACGCACGCAATTTTTGCGTCAGGGTTCAGGGGTGGGGTTTAATTAGGGATGATCAGGGCTTCGAAACTTTCCGGTTCGGGGAGCTCTTTGGATGCACAGTTTTGGGCTTCAAAGTCTATCCTTACGTGGGCTCTTATAAGGCCTAAATCCCGAACCAGTGATGCATGCCGGGTTCCCTTAAGGGTTCCTATAAAGTTCCTTTAAGGGTTCCCAGGGTTCCTGTAAGGGTTTTGGGGTTCCTTTAAGGGGAATCGCCAAGCACTCCTTCTTTACAGCTGCAGCTTGGCGAGGTTCGACGGTTGAACGGGTTCCGATCGGAAAGCCCCGAAGCGTGCGAGGCAAGCCATTTCTTTTCAAATATTTAGGGCTTGGGGATTAGGATTTGACAGGGTCTGGGCTCCAGGTTAAGGATTCGGGGTGTGGAGTTTCGAATCTCAAATTAAGAATTAGCTCTTGAGATTGTGCTGCCGGATGATCGGTGTGGTCCTGTGTCAGAATTCGCATGGTTTGAAATAGAAGGGCCAGGAGACCTAGCAAATAGGTGGTAAGTAGGCAGGGCTGTTGTCACAATAATCCAAGTTCGGACGATTAAAAGTCTATACCGTTTACCCTGTACCAAATCCCCAGATTCTTCAAACAGTGGGTGTACACTTCAAGTCTCGTCAACTCTCAACCTGTCAGTCTGGTCGAAAACTCGGCTAGCCCCGAGGTAACCCCAGGTTCGGGGTTTCGGCCCCTTTGGGCCCTGGATGTCTCAGGCAAATGATTTGAAATGGTCGTCGCCACCGCCTGGGCCTTAGGGCCCTCAAGGGGCTTTAGGCTTTTAGGGTTTATAGGGTTTAGGGGTTAGGTTCAAGGCTTCCGGGTTTAGGGTTTAGGCTTTAGGAACTTTGAGGTGTGAGGTTGGAAGCTTCAGGGCTTGATTTAGAATTATAGGGTTTAAGAGCTGTTTTGTGCAAGAAGATCAGCAGTCAGGCGTTGACAATTGGAACTCAGAATAGAAAGTCGGCCACCAGCTGCGCTGAAGTGATGTGACCACGCGTTTACACAGCATGCACATGCAAACAAACGAACAACCCACCAACCAAACAACTAATCAAACTTAATAAGCAACCATCCAGCCACACATGAACACATCCATATATATATATATATATATACATATATATATATATATATATATATATATATATATAATTACACACTTTCACACACAAGCACACACGCAGACACACACACACACACACACCAACAAATACATATCACGAACCAAAAAACAAACAAGCAGCAGGCACGCACGTGGACACACACACACACACACACACACTCACACACTCACACACACACACACACACACACACACGCACAGACACGGACATGCACACGCACATACACACACAGGCGCCCACAGACACAAACACACGCACCCAAACAAGTAAACGAAACCAAGCATGCAAGCAACAAGCAGGCAGGCAGGCGGGCAAGCGAGCAAGGAGGAAGGCAGGCAGGCAGGCAGACAGGCAGGCAACCACACAGACAAATAAACTCACAGACGCACAAGAACACATGCACGTGCACGTACACGTGCACGCATTCATCCAGCCATACCTACGTACATACGCGCATACATACAGCGTTACACTGCATTACATTGCATGACATCCCATTGTATCATTGGGCTGTACAATTCAGTTGCAGTACACTACATTACATGTTACAGTACATTGCATTGCACTGCATGCATACAGACATGCATGCATGCATACATACCGGCAGACAGGCAGACGTACATACTTGCATACGTACATGCACATGCATATGGGCAAACATCCGGACATGCGTACATTGTACATGCACACAAGCCAACAAACAAACAAGCAAACGAACAAACAAACAAACACACACACACACATACACTGAGACGCGCATCCATGCATCCATCCATCCATCCGTCCGTCCATCCATCCATCCAGCCATCCATGCATGCCAACACGCACACTCTGCACTCACACACACACACACATACACACACGTGCGCGCAGACAGTTGTATATGCAGATCGTGGCCATGTCACGCATTGTATCTGAAACGAACACCAAAACCACAGCTAGAAAAAAGAAAGCTGAATGAGCGGAGTTCGGGCCTGTAGTCTAGGCTTGGGGTAGTGCTCACTCTGATTGACTTCTGTGCTTGTTGTTGCTGTGTCTTCACCCGTTTTGCTGGGACTCAACTGTTGCTTATGTCTTGTTCATTGCTTCATCTGTCGTTTTTATTCTGTGTCTCGCATATCTTCAGCTTGCTTTTTTGGCGTTTCACACTTTTCGTAAGTGCTATAGTCTTTTTGTCATGGTTATTTTTAGTTATCTCTTATTCGCTGTTTTCGTAGAGATCCTAAATCCAACACCACACCGGAGGTCCTTGCCTTGTATGGCTTACTGCTATGGAGCCCCGCAAGAAAGCTCCCAGAAGCACGAGACAGAATTCAGCCCCTACAGAGTTCCTCTAGGAGCTTCTCCTGCAACGTGGTTTAGGGTTTACCCATAGGCCCCATAGCAGTTTCGTTTTGGGGCTCACATAAGGTAATCCCCAAAAGGAACTACTATAGGCCTATGGGTAGGCTGCATCAAAAAAACCCGACCGGAGCATAACAGTTTTCAAAGGAATAACATGTCATAAATGTCACGCCTAACCGGGTACAACCGACCAAGCAACATATCGATTTACCAAGGACATTACAGGTTAGAGGGACTCGACAGATCCAGCCATGTACGCACATGTCATAGATGCACGCTGCTGGGGAGGGGGGGGGCACCCTACACATCTGTGCTGACTCGCGCTGATACAAGGCTCTTCAGTCATATGCACACAGTAAGTGTGTGTTGTACGTACATGTCATAGATGCACGCTGTGGCGGGGGGGGTGCACTTCAACCGTCTGTGCTGATTCGAGTTTCGCGCTGATGCGAGGCTCCTGAGTTCTATAGTTATATGTGTGCGCACACCATGTGATTAGGCAGCTACAGCTGGACGTGAGCATTGGCAAGCGCCGAAGCCGTCACTCTGATACAGCCTTCGGGCTGTCCACGAAACAAAGCCTCTGACAAGAAGTCTGGAACCGAATGTCCTCTTGCAAAGTCCGCCGCTGTCCAGTTGCGGCAGTTTCGCACATCTAGTCGTGCTCCTGCAGCAATGAGGGCGGCAGCACCTTCGAACTGACCTGACATCACAGCTGCCATTAACGGCGTCTGACCTCCATAGTGATATCCCCACCTTGTCACCATCGTCCTCTTGCCAAATCGATACTGCAGTCCTTTAAAGCCAAGAAGGGCGCGCAAGGGCTTGCCAACACGACCAGTTGCATTGATATCGGCCCTCAACTCGACCAGTCGCATAATAACCTGATTTGGGCGGGCGTATACTCCGGATCTATGCTGCTTGGGGTCTACATGGGGCTTGCTCATGTTATGAAAATCCCACCTCAGCACTGCCTCCTCGACCTGCTGCTGCGTAGTAGAGTGACTTGCTCAAATCTGCTTGGTGTAACTCTGGTCCAGCTTGGGAAATGAGCTCCTCCATTGATGCCGTTGTTCCGAAAACAGAGCAGTAGTCCAGAGCCACGTCTCCGAAATGATTCTTCTTAAAGATCCTGGCGCCAGCTGAGCAAAGAATTCGGATGCCTTCGGAATCATCTGCCACAGCTGATGCCGAAATTTGTGGATGAAGGCCAGAATCGATTCTGGCTCTTGCGGTGATCAGCAAGCGCATGCAGTCGTGGTGCTTGAAAAAGCAACAGATTCCCAACGCCGTGCAGCCAGGCGGAACCCCTGCTATCGGTTGGCTTTTCCGAGTCCAGCGATCTACGTTCGCCCGCAGCTGGAGCAAGCCCTGGATCACGAGCGGATCTCCACGCAGGGCTGCGAAGTGCAGTGGTGACCATCCGCCACTGAACTCGTGGATGGTCGTGAAGCCGTTTTGGAAAAGGAACCGTTGTGCAGCACATGCCGTGGTGTCGGTCCCCAAGCTGGGGTTAGGTGCAGACTCTGGCACCAAGTCATACACTGCGGATGCATCGAAACCTCTCAAGTAGACGTTCTGCTTGTTCAGAAGAAGCCGATAGCCGACAACATCCAGTCTCTTCAGAAGGAGCTTCATCTTGCACAGAAGTGCATGCTGAAAAACCGGAGCAAGCTTCATGCGATCTTTTTCGTCCGTGAAACGACCTTCACCCGCTGGTTGCACGACGAAAAACGGGGCAAAGGAGGACGTCAATTCTAACTCCGTGCTGCTCTTGATCATGATAATCCAGGGATCGTTGTCCGCCAGCTCTCGCAGGACTCTCTCCGTGCGGCACCATGCTCGATCGTTCCAGGAAAACGTGGTAAACACTTTTCCAAGCGAGCTGGTTTCCACGACAGGGCAGAGGGCGAAAAAGAACTTACACCTTGCGATGTATGCGGGGATGCTGTCAACGGCTCTGGTCAGATTGGGTCTTGGACTCTCCGGCCCAGTCCCGAGGCTTCTGAACTCCAGTTGTGGACACGAGAAATAGTCGTACCAAATGTAAAGAGGCGCCACACGTAGGTCGGATGCAGGCAGCGGCTGCGCACTCGGAAAGTAATTCTCCGTGTAGGCATCCAATGGGATTTGCTGCAAGTCGGAAAGCATGTGCTTCAGCGCATCCTGCAGAACTCGCAGTTGCTTGCACTCCGGATCCGGATGATGGTGGCCCACCCACTCGTGCGAAACAAAGACGGCGTTGCCCAAGCTTTCGTCAAATTCTACCAACAGCTTGTTTGCCTTCAACTGTTCGTGCGGCACGACCTCCGACACATGGTCAAATTGGTTCGAAACTCGATGTGTCTACCATACACAGTTATACTTGTTGCACTCTCTATCTAAACTGGCAGCACTTGACGGACAAATATTACAATGTGTGTGCTTACCCGCGGAAAAAAGCAGAAAGAGATGGGAAGAGCGAGCGAGAAAGAGAGAGAGAGAGAGAGAGAGAGAGAGACAGAGACGAGACGGTATGGGTTCAGCGCTCCAAGAGATTTGACAAACAAAACGGCACCTCCGAAACGCCAAGGCCATTCAATCACCACGCTAAATCGCAAGATCATCCAAAAGCCTTTAGTTTAGGGTTTATAGGGCTTAGGGCTTTGGAGTTTGGGGGGGTTCAAAACCTGAACACCCGAACCAGGGCCTTTGCCATCTCCAGCAGAACTTTAGCGCGAACTGTGTACATGGGGAAAAAGGCTTCCGTAGCCGTGGACTCTGCAGATCCTCGCGAGAAGGCGCTTCGGGGCCTTTAGCTACGGACTGAGGCTTCGGTTTTAGGGTTTGGGGGCTTAGGCTTCACGTCTTTGAGGGGCTTGGGGCTTAAGGCTTCAAGGTAAAGGTCTAGAGGTAGGACCAGGGATCATTGCTGGGTTTGCCTAGAATAATCTCGGGTGACCATGAGGGAATTCTGTGACTAGACTCAGACGCCACTATTCGGGAAAGGCGTCTAAGTGGTCCGAATGAGGCAACTGCTCATCTGTGGTACAAGAGCTTGTCTGCAGTTGCAGTACCCCTATGTCTGCCTTATGGTTTTCCTATCGGATCCGGAAGGTTTCCCGAGACTATAAACCCTACTCCTAACCCCTTAAATTAAATCTTCCATCCTACGCCTCGATCTGAATCAACACCCCAAGCTCGGCTCAAAAGGCCCAGCCAGGCTCAAAAGGCCCACACAACACCCCAAAAAAGGGGGTTATGGTTTAGGGTTTAGGGTTTAGGGTGAGGCTGGGGTTTAGGAGTGTCTAGGGGTTGGGGTGGACCGAAATTCTGGAGACCACGAGCCTAGCGATTCTAGGGTTTCTAGAGCCCTTGGTGTTTAGAGCTTGAGGGAATGCACACCCATACCGTCAAACCTCTTTGGTATGCTTAACTCGCTACCTGCTGGCAGTTGGTCACGCAAGCGCTTGGCATAATGCACCAAGGCGGACGTGGCTCCGCGGGATTCGAAACAAGCCATGGCTCTTCAAAAAGGAGTTGACCCTACTGTAAGGGCCTTAATGATTAGAACAGGGTTTGGGGGAATATTATACTCCAAGTATGTAGGCCTCTATATTAGACCAAAACTCGAACAAACAATTCTTGATGTTCGCACTAAAGCCCAAGCCCAAAACTCTAAAGCCTGAGCCCTAAGCCCTTTACAAACCCTTCATGTTCCCTGCTGCTTCTGTGCAACAGCGTCTTCTCAATTAGAGGAAAGGGGCCCTTGAGAAATAGAATAGTGGACTGAAGGGTCAAAGGATCTGGTCTTAGTGTAGCATTTCGGGTGTTCATCTGTCAGAACTCCAACCCTTCAGGTGCTGCTGACCTCGAGGTGGCACGAATGTGCGAGCGCCGGCAGCAGAGAGCTAGATCTTGAACAGGTAGGTAAAATGAACATGCCCTGCATGAAAACCACACTGGACTTGTGTAAGAACTCCATATGCGCCTTCACTGTACACTCTGACCGCCGGACTTAAACCCAGAATCCGAAAAGTTTCGGCCAGCAGTGCCCGATGCCTCAACCGTTGGGCTGTGCTTTTTTTGTTTGATCGTGGTAGCACTAGACTAGGACGCCTATGGGACGCTGAACATGATGTTCATCCTGGCAACAGCGACTTCGCTTCATTGTGTCATCTTGTTGGAGAGGACTCGTGTTGTTGTCTCGGGGTTCTGAGTACCGGGTTTGAGGCTGCAAGGTTGTGCCTCGTGATCATATAGCAATTTTGTATTCTTCCTGGTGAATCATTAGACCATTCGTTCTTGAAGGACCAACTCACCCTTACACGCAGGGGCCCTATACCCCTATACTACGAAGCCCAATACGGCACTATAATCTTGAACCCAGGTGGGCTTCATTTCGTCTTCAGGTTTACGACCAAGCAAAGCTCCCAGATCTCTAGCCAAAGGGTCCAAGTACTAGTATAGTAATTTGGTACTGTACTTAGTAGTTATTTCGGCCCCAAAAGTATATACTATACCATTACATGGGCCCTTTGGGTAGTAACCCTAAACCCCAAACCGCTAAACCCTAAACTAAAGAAGCTGCAAAAGCCAAGCGCACCCACCTCGACAAGTCGCGCCCGTGCAGCATCGTCCTTCCGAAGGCACGAGTCGAGCTCGTCCCTAAACCCTAATATGGGAGTTTCCGAAAATAGGGGACCCTAATATAGTACCCTAAATAGTAGGATCCTTATTATAAGGAGCCCAAAGTAAGGTACCCCCAATTTTCGGAAACTCCCATATAGGGGCCTTCATAATTAGAACAGGGTATTGGGGGCCACTGGTCTAATTATAATATGGAACCCTCAAAATAGTGTTGGTAATTACTTAGGCCCCTAGAGTACCTGGACCCTAAAGAACCTACCTCTTTTAGGGTTCCCGATTATGATTTCCTTATATAAGTCCTGCAAAAGGTAGGGTATTTGGGGTTAAGGTAAATTCTGAACACCAAACCCGCAAACCCTATGTTGTTGGATTGCAAGGCCTCTCCTGCCTGGCTCCCTAAACCCTGTCTCTGAGGTTTGACCAGCTGATGTATGTGGCGGGCCTTTTCAGCTCCGCTTCTTGACTTGGCCGGTCGTACACTGTCGTACACTTACCGAAAGCATCAGGTGTAAGCGGGAAAGACGGATCTAACATGTTAAGCGCAGACTTGTGAGTTCCCGAGACGGGAGTAGGTCATATGCATAATACAGAAAGATACGTATACATATGAATATATATATATATACACACACATGAAAACATATATACCTGTATACAAACATGTATGTCAAAGTGTATGTTTACACTGAGCTTACACATATGGTAGCACTGCCTTCGGAAGCTGGAGTTTCGGCAGCTTGGCCACAGAGCCCGTCATAGCTCCGCACACGACGAACTATCGACGGTAAGGATTGGGATTCAAGGCCTTGAGGGTTCACGGGTAAGGAATATATTCTGAAAACTCACTGTCCCCAAAGACAGGCCGACACAGAGTTCTCGTAGGTCCAGGCGCTTGGTCATAATTCAAGAGTTTAGGTCTTGGTCGGCGGATCCTGAATCGTAAAACCATTTACACCCTAAAACTTGAACGCCCGAAACACTGGGCCCGATGTGAATCAATGAAACTTGCAGCAGGTCGAGCCAAAAGCTTGCAATGGACTCGAGCCAACATCCAAGCTCAAGCTTGCAATGCCAGCTATTTCTGAACCTTAAGACCTACCTAGTTACTAGCAAAAGAGTACTTCAGGGGCCTCAGCGATCAGGAAATAAAATAGATTTCTGGGGTGTGTGTATATATATATATATATATATATATATATATATATATCAACTCGACACTGCGCCCCAAACAGGAGAAAACATATTATATACATATATGTGTGTGTGTATATATATATATATATATATATATATATTACATGTATATGTATAAACTATAGCTAAAGAAGGAACTCCAAGATAGTATTGGTAAAGTCTTAGGCCCCAGCTTTTCAGTCGATGACTGGTGTGACTCCAACTCAGGACAGGGTGTAGCGTTTGGCGTCTGGCGTCTAGGGTTTCTTGAAGGGATCTAAAGTTTAGGATTGTCTTGCTTCAAGGAGCACGGGACTTAGTAAGTAAGGCTAGGAGTACCCTAATCGGAGTATATAAGTAATCATATCTAAGATTGCTTGATTTCTATCCCTGGTCACCATGATCCTCCGAGTACCTAAAGGTCTGCAGAAAGACCCCTCGCCTGCCGACCCCAACCCTATAAGCCCTTTTGGGGCCGTGTTGGGAGGCGGATCTTCAGGGTCTTGGAGGTGGGGAATTGGCCATCAACCCGTGTTCCGGCAACTCCCTGAAAATGCTTGAGTACTTCGCGGGTTCCGCCGGAGGTACCTTGTAAGGACTATGTTGGGAGCATCAGAGCCTCAAATGCATGCTACCAGAAAACAGCTTGGTACAGAAAAACAACCCGAGATGCCATGCAAGGGGAACGTGTAAGTGACCGAAGCGGATATGACGCCAGCGTTCGGGAACTAGAGATGCGGAAGACTGATGACTGAGGTTCCGCGACTTCGGTATGCAATCTGCGAAGCGCAAACCTTAAGCCTTAAGCTGTTGCACTTTGTCTCTGCTGATCCTGCGCGCCGCTCGCACCTGCAAGTCCTACAACCTACGTCGTCAGAGTTGGCATGAGATTGCACAAGCTCCTTGACATCATTCAACGCGAGGAGTCGTCAGCGTGTGAGCCAGACAAGAGGTTTGCAGAACCTGTTCAAGGCAACAGCTTGGCTTCCATTCATCTGGTTGACGAGGCAGATATGGGTTTAAGGCATCGCCTTGCTGGCATTCAAACCATCCGTACAGTAATAGTTGGGGGTCTAGGCTTCTATGGTTTAGGCTTTAGAGTTTTAGGGCCATGCCTTGGACCGCTATGCAGCGAAAAGGGCGGCATCTGAGCTGAGCTCACTCAGAAAGCTCGCCACACTCCTGCAGTTTGCAGTTGGGGCTGAGGGGACAGCTGGGGCAGCTAGTTAGTGCTCAACTCAACCACCGTGGGGTCAGCCCCAATGACATTTGCTACCTCCCATTCGTTAGTGCCCGAGGACAGTACCTCTGCTATACTCTGGTGCTGTTTGGTACTGACTACAAGAGGATGTTTGTGTCTTTAATTGAAGCCCAGGTCCTCGATGACGCAGGCCTTCCTTGGCGGCGTGCCGTTCTGCGATTCGATCTTCTTGACCACGTCCATGCCTGGCTTGCAGTTTACGATCGGGACCTCAACAAGTGGAGAAGGGTTTCTATAGGTGCATTGCTACAACTGTATATTAAACGACTAAGGATTCCAAAGTACTAATGTGGGCTTCCGGGCGTCGGGTCGAAGGCGCAGAGTGGAAAGTGGTGCAGAACAGTTCAAAACAAGACCGAAACAAGCAAGGGATCTTGATGTGACGGAGTGATACGTCTCCTTGATGGCGGGATCATGGCAACCCTCAACCCTAAGCCTCGAAATTTAGAGGCATGGCTTCTTTAAGTCAAAGGCTACTGTATAGGGCTACATTGTGAGGGTCGGAGAAATTGTCAATACGTGTTATACTTGTATTATGAGATATCCCAAACCCATTAATGTTCGAATGATTCAAGCTCCTGCACTAGGGCAAGAGGCAGGCCTATTCACACCGGCACGTTTCGTGATTGAGCCTTCGGGTAGCTGGGCTCTGCTCGCTCGAGGCACGTGGAACATTATTCCGTGAAAAGTTCCAGGCGCTGCGATCGCCTATACTCTCAACACAAATCAACATCTTCACGGTTCCTGGGAGAATACCACACTTGCACAAGAAGTCGAAAAGAACGTCCCACAGCAACCCGTTGGCTCCCGAATCAAGTCGGAAAGGACGCAGCGAGAGCTACACTGGACACAACTTTCAGATCCAGGCTTGGAGCCCAAAGCCCGCTAGGCACAACCTTACTGCCTCAAACCCGGTACTCAGAACCCTCAGACAAGAAGAAAATCAATACGAAGACACAAATATTTTACGAAGGCGCCATGGCCGCTGTGAACATCACTGTAAACGACCCATACCCCAGACACAGAAAGAGAAACAAGCAAAGAACTGCGGGTAAGGCATCGGGGCTCCACTGGCTGAAGTTTACAAGGTTTAGGGGTTTAGGTCTAGGTTTCAGAGCTGACAGTGAAAATGGTTTCAGGTCTAGGAGTCCGGGGTTTAGGTTTTTACGTAACATAAATCGAGCATCTTTCTCATGCAAAGCACTGCTGCTCTTGCTGCTCTTGCCGCCGCTGCGGTTGGCGAGGCTGCTGTTCAGGATGATGATGATGATGATGGTGATGATGATAACAGTGGTGGCACAGCACGGCCCAAATTCAATCAACGCCCGCCCGAAGGCCTTCGACAACACTCCCAAAGACGACGTGCTTGCCGTCGAGATGGGGCGTGGGCACCGTGCAAATGAAGAACTGGCTTCCATTCCTGACTAGCTCATGATTCTGCTTATGTGTGTGTGCATGCGTATGGGTGAACAAGAGGCCTTAGCAAGTGTTGGGGCGTTTCGGGGGGGCCATAGTCTGCTATGTGTAGCATATGGAAACCCAAGGAATAACAGTAACAATTTCTCAGACCGCTCAGTGCGCTTATGTCTGTGTGTGTGTGTGTAAAACCGTGTCACTATAAGGGAATCATAGTGTTTCAAAACGCAGGGGGGTACCGCTCTCTGATGCTACCGTACCCAACGAAGCTATGCATCAGAGAGGGAAACCAAGCCTGATCAGCTTGGTGTACCTGCGATTGAGATGGCAACCAGGCCAAGCCAAAAAACTGGCATGTCGAAGGATGGTTGAAGAAGCAGTAGGCAACGAGTGTAAGCATCCGTGCTAACTCATGTTTGGCTTCGGTCAATCGAGAGTCCATCAAGTGTGTCGTTCGACTGGAAATGTGTCATAGTGCCAGTCGTGAGGCTCCAACTTTGTCTAGCTTTCTCGGTGGCCAGACGTATGAAGGCTCACCTTCGGGTGCAACAATTCTCCTACACGCTCTCCTACAAACCCTCTGCCACATGTCGGGATAGCGTCCACTTGTGATCCTAAATGCGACAGGCCACTAAATTAAATGCGACATCAACTCGTGTCTCCTAAATGCAACATCTCCTAAATGCGACATCTCCTAGTCCTAAATGCGACGTATGTATGCATGTATCAGTGTTGGGGGGGTGCGGCCTGGCCTGCGAACTCCCACACTGAATCAACAATAACATGGCAATGTTGGGAGGGCTGCGGCTTTGCCTGCGAACTCCCACATTGACCATGTCTTCATTCGGTTTTTTCTCCCCTAAACCCTTTCACCCTAGATGCCAGCTGGAGACGATGCGGCACACAGGGAGCGCACTTCTCCATTCGTTGAGTACTCTTTGCGTGCGTGCTCATCACCCTTTCATTTCATCGTCCGGTCTCCTTCCAATCTCTTTCACTCATGCATGCACCACGGAAAACGTAGCATGCTGGCATGTGTGTTTCATGAATGTTGGAATACGTAACATGTCGGCATGTGTGTGTGTGTGTCATGTATGTTGGAATGCGTAGCATGTCGGCGTGTGTGCGTCATGCATGTTGGAACCCGTAGCATGTGTGTGTGTATGTATGTTGGAATGCGTAGCATGTCGGCATGTGTGCGTCATGTATGTTGGAACCCGTAGCATGCGTGTGTCATGTATGTTGGAATGCATAGCATGTCGGCATGTGTGTGTCGTGTATGTTGGAATGTGTAGCATGTTAGCTTGCGTGTTTCACATTACTACCCCTTTCGAAGGGCAGCTGTGTGTAAAACCCTGTCATTAAGGGAATCATAGTGTTTCAAAACGCAGGGGGGTACGGCTCTCTGATGCTACCGTACCCAACGAAGCTATGCATCCGTGAGGGAAACCAAGCCTGATCAGCTTGGTGTACCTGCGATTGGGATGGCAACCAGGCCAAGCCAAAAAGCTGGCATGTCGAAGGATGATTGAAGAAGTGTTAGGCAACGAATGTAGGAATACGTGCTAACTCCTGTTTGGCTTCGGTCAACCGAGAATCCATCAAGTGTGTGGGTGTGTGTGTGTCTGTGCTGTTACGTGTGTCTGTAAGGGCAGCTTTGAGTCCACACTGTTCTAGGTCGTACTGGGCTACTGCTTTCCCAAAGGTGCTTACTGGGGATGTGGGTGGACGGGAGCGGTCGCTTGCTCGACTATGGCTTTGATGTGTGCAAAGACGGTTTCAAACTAATTTGGGAAAAGCTTGAACAGGGTGGATAAGCCGTTAGGGGTCGTACATACGACTACATCAAGCTTTAGACGGTCTGCCATGTCCCTTGATTGCCATCTAAGTCTGTTCTTGTGGGATGCTTTCGCTGTGACAAATGTGGGGATGCCGGGTTTTACTTCAAAAAGGAGTTTCAGGGGTGTATGATATACATATACAACGGAACCCCAAACCGAATATTGTACATAGCAATTAAAAACCGGATCCTCGGGCTTGGAGTCATCCTCCCGTCAGGTTGCAAACTCGCATTTGTGGTAAGCAGTTGGGCCGTAGGAACGCTACGAGGCACTTCAGAGAAAGGTATACACAGCAATGAACCTCTGTTTACTGCCTTTTATTCTCTTAAACGGCATGTTTACTATGGTCAGATATACGCAGGCTTTATGACCATGTGAAAGGTCGTTCTTTCAATCCCACATGTACCCACACCCATGCGCGCATACACAGACAGGCGCAGAGAAGAGTCATTCCGTCCTCTTGAAACCAAACCTGAGAAGCTCCAGGCATTCTGCGGGCGTGAGAATCGGAAACACCCGACTCGTTCGCAAGCAGTCTTCTTGATGGTGACTTGGAATAAGGCATATAAGGAATGGCAACATCTCAGTGAATGGGTGAACCTGTATATCCGGAGCACCTAAACCCAGAATCTAAACGTAAGGGCTCCTACCCATGCACAAAACCCTAAACTTCATTTACTCCAAGGGTAAAAGGAGGGATCCTTAATAAGGACCCCTAGGTATATACCCTTAATAAAGCCATTATATACCCTATTATCTAGCCTGACTATAGGGTAGGGGGCCCCATTAAGGGTCCCTCCTTTTCCCCATTGATTTACCCGAAGGCCCGGCATCCCGGAACTGGCTCAAGGCAAAGGTTCGTGTTCGGGCCGGCATTGGCCATCGACAGCACACCGGGTCCCGTGTGCTTCAAGGTGAAGTTCTCGTCCGGAAACTTGTTACCGTAGATGGACTTTCCACCTGAATGCCCAGACTCGGTGAACAACCACTGCGATGCTACGATCTCTCTCAGGGTGTAGGGTTCAGGGTTAAGGGCTCTTCCATGTATGTGGTTTGGACCATGGAAATTGGAGCTTAGACGGCGAGCCAGGGGCGCTCGAAGCTATTCGGACTCTGGGCTCCTCAGTGAAAATGTCCGGCAGCCATGCTGAAACACGAGGATGGTGATGGTGGTTTAGGCTCTATGCGTTGAGGGTTTATGGGTTCAGGGCTTACTTACGGTTCAGGTTACAAACTACACCAAAACGCAAGTGCCGGCTTTGTCTGCGTCCGGTTCGTACCTGTAAGCTGTGCAAGCCCCAATGCTTTAACAAGCCACTGTTCCTAACCTCTAAAGCTTTAACAATGCATTGTGTCTTGACTTTTGCTGAACGCAGCACAAAAATGCAGAAATAGAGCCAGCCACTAAGCACAGTAACAAACAACTTCAATTATGTAATGGAACCAAGTAATTGTACGTGAGCAAGACCGAGAAACCAGACCTAGCAGCATGGTTCAAGTCACATTGCTCATGCACTGATCGTTGAAGAGACGTCGCGAGTATGAGGTGGAGATCAGAGGTAACGGTTTGGGGGTTCCGTCCTTTTCATCTAAGTTTAGAACAAAGGTGCTTATGGTGGGTAGAGAGGCATGCTCATGGTTGGATATCTGCATTTCGGCACGTGAGTACCTCAAGAAACTGTCCCAGCAGCAATCACCACCAGAGTTGTTTATCAATGGCTTCCGGATCTTCCTGGTGAAGGACCAATGGTACTGGTAGCAACAGCAATCAGAACACTCAGGGAAGACAGAGCTGCAAGAACAACACTACTAAAACCAAAACAAACATACTGACAATAATTATAGTCACTATGTCGTGATATTCATAACCTCAGCAAGAATGATAAACTTAAGCTGAAAAAAAACAACAACACCCATGGCGGTACTCCGTATCAGCCGACTCATCGATGGAGGCCTGTGCCATTGCCCCTGGTGAAGTCGCCACCTGAGCTCTTAGGATCCGGTTGTTAGGAGGGGGGAGACAAATTCTCCTACGGTTGATGATACAAATCCTGCATTACCCATAATTAGGAATATACCATAGTTCCCATAGTTTACGGTCCTCAAGGTAATGCAGGATTTGTATCATCAACCGTAGGGTTTGGAGATCTAGGGTTGTCGGTTTAAGCTTTGGGTTTAGGGCTTAATCTGTTTGAAGAGGGCTCCGCTTCGATCCGCTGACAAGCATTACGAAAGCCCACTTGGGCGAGCTTAGGGTTTAGGTCTTTGAGTTTAGGCTTAAGGTCCCTCTGTTGTTTTAGAGTTTCGGGTTCTGCGGCGTTCCTGCGCGATACTATGGATGCTTGATGATGCTTGGTTTCAAGTGGGTCTGTATCATGCCGTGGTTGTCTGGGGGCACACTAATCTACATGGTGTGTGTTGCCAGTCACATTGAACCTTCTATTTGGCAACTTTATACACTCCAGGGCCCTCAATACGAACCGTATGGAATAGGATCTCAATCAAAAACCCAAAACCGACACTCAAACACCATGCTTTCGGGTTCAGAGACCAATCTGGCATCACAGGGGCAGATGTATAACCTCCGTTTATACTCATATTGGATTGCAGATGGTTTTCGGGTTTGTGTGCAGATGGTTTTCGGGCTTCTCGCTTTTAGTGCAGCTCATGTACAGAAAGAGTCCACAAAGCTCTCGCCACCGAAGTAAAGCCAAAACTCTGAACAAGCCGCACAGGCTATCAACGCAGCAACTCTGGCTGGACCTCTCTTGGCACGCAACCCTGGATCATGAAGTCCTTGATGACCCTGGCAGGGCGGGCTCTAGAAACCTGAGGCTTGAACACGCCTTAAATGCGCGAGTCGTCTAGCAAGTACTCCCAGAAAACTATGCCTTCTTGGGATGTGTGGTTTAGCTAACTGTAAGGATTTGTGCCTGTAGGTGCCTGCTGGGTTATGTACGGCAACACAAGTGCACGAACCCAAACAGAGAGATGCACGGGCTGAAACATTGTTCGGAGGGCCTTAGCAACATTCTATCCCAAACTCTCCCGGTGCCCAAATCTTCCCCAAGACCTGAACACAGAACCCTGTACCCAGATCCCCGATGGCCTGGCGCTGTTGTGCTGCTTGTGTGCTGCTGCTGCTGCTGCTGCTGCTGCTGCTGCTGCTGCTGCCGCTAAGATGGAAAGGATGACACTGAAAATGTGCGATGCTAGGGCTTGGCATGTCGTGATAATAGAGTCGATGAGAAGGGTGCAGACCTCATCCCTGAAAGCTAGAATCAAAACCTTACACTTAAACCCACGCCACGAGTCCCATACTCTGAAGCTCAAAAACGTAATCTAAAAGCCTCAGTTGCTCGCAAAAGACGCAAAACGCTTTAAATTTTCCAAAAGCCCGAACTCCCATCATTGAATCATAGCTCATCCCTAAACCCTAAACCTTCGAACATACTCAAACCCTATGTTTTCGGGTATGAGGTTGTTTAGGGTTCTGGTTGCTTTGGGATTGCTAGAGACTCCAAAGCCCTTGAGATCCTTCCAACATTGTGGGTGTATTGTTTCTCAAGGGTTTTCCAGTCTAGGCATAAAGAACAGAAAAATCGCTCTCTGTGGCCCCAAACCCGTACATCCCCCAAGCCCTAACACCCAAATCCAAACCAGCGCACTCGAACTCGTCATGGTCCTCTAAACCCAAGCCGTCAAATAAATCCAAGATCAACCTGAACCCTATAACCCTAACTCCCAACCTCTCAATACCCCCAAAGCCAGGAGCGCCTGTGGAATGCAGAGCCCTGGAATCCGAATCCCTTCTCCCCAGTGCACAGCCTCATGTTGTGGGTTTCTTCTTGCTTCAGGGTTTCCTGTACTTTTTGGGATGAGGGTTTAGCTCTTGGGGCTCTGGGGTGTCTCGGCCTTAGCCGAGTCCGGGGCAGGTGGCTGTAGCAGCTTAGGGTTTAGGGTTTGCTTTTGCCGCCGGGGTGGTAGCGCAGACTACCAGGCTGCGCAAAGTTTGGCCGGTCAGGCTGTAATCGAGCCACTTCAAAGACCGATCATGCAAGTTGTGCTAGGCAGTTGGTGAAGAGCTGTGGCAAATCCCTTAACCCAAAGCTTAGCTTGGCAATTGAAGGCAAGTTCAAGCAACCCCCTAAACCCTAAACCTTGGGTACATCCGCTTTGGATTCTCCGGCTTCGGTCGTCGGAGCCTGGTGCGCTTGCGGAGTTTTGGAAATTAGGGTTTCGGTCTGTCAGTTCCCAGTCATGTCGGCGTTGGATGACGGTGACGCCTGACGATGAGGATGATGACGATGGTTATGTCTGCGCACGATCCCCCGGGAAGTCCCTCTTGGTACACTTCACGAAACACACATTTAATGCATGTCAGTCAAGGGTTTTGTATCTTTCGCAACCTAGAATCTGCACAGCAGAGAGGCAAAGCTCACAGGTGCCCCTGCTCGAACTTGGGCAAAAAAATCATTCAGCAAACAAAGCCTTACACCCCAAACCTCTTCCTACTACCGGTCGAAACTCACAACTAGGTGGGGCTTTTAAGGCTTTTGAAAATATTAGTAAATAAGATCCTCTTAAGCCCAATAAGAGAAAATATGAAATGTTCCAAAGCCCTACCTAGACAACATCAAGCCCTTCGGGGATCTGGCGCCCGAAAGTTCTCGGCTGTCTTTGGCCTCGTCGGAGCGAGCAACAACATATGACCCTTACGGTTCACTCAAATAGGAGTTTCCGAAAATAGGGGACCCTAATATAGTACCCCAAAAGGTAGGATCGTCATTATTATTATAAGGATCCCGAAATAAGGCACCCCTAATTTTGGAAAGTCCCAAATAGGTTACTCAAAGGGGCAGGCATGAGGCCCAGGTCGTTCAAAAAGCACAATTACTCTTACAGCTCTAGACCCTAAACCCCGAACCCTCAACAAACACATGGAATCTGTATGGAACCCGATAGCGTCCGAATGAAGCTCTACAAAACTCTCATGGAACCCAAAGAACCCCAGTAAGGCACTCTAGGACTCTCTAGAACCCCTCAAAACCCTACCATAAAATCGGAATTAGCACTGTGGTCATCATTCTATTCCCTTGTAGTCCCTAATATGACCACTTTACACCCCACAAAACCCTTATTCCACTTTCTAGCCCTCTTGACTGACTTAGGCCCCTTTCTCACATCCCGTTTGGCTTCCTATGGAAGGGCCTACAGCAGAGCTTGCAGCTGAGGATACGGCACCGTATCTCCGTAAAGGCCCATGACGATTCTGCCTGCCTTCAGGGTCCGGGGTTAGTTTCTGTTGCCTTGTTTTAACTTGGGGTTAGGTTTTAGGGTTCAGGCCTTTCCGCCTCGAAATCGGCACCTCAGTAGTCAGAATACTAGTACGTCGAGATAAAGTTTACAGGCTAGGGTCTAAGGTGTAGGGTGAACTCTGCACTTTCTTCTGCTTGGGTTTCTCTGGTCAACGCGAATGTGTGGAGGATCTTTTGCTGCAGGGATTGCGGGTTTTGGGACGTAGGCCGTGCAGGGTTTAGCGATTTAAGCTGTGGGGAAAACCCAGACTCAGGGTGTTGGTTCAGGGCTGTCGGATTTGGAGGATCAGGGCACATACGGTTGATGATATAAATCCTGCATTACCTAAAGGTCTAAACTATGGGAATTCTGGTGTATGCCTTATTTTGGGCCACGCAGGATGTATATCATCAACCGTAGTAAGTATGACATTAACTCCCTTCGGGCACCTGCAGCTCTACGTAGTTAGAACTTACGACCAGCCCAGACCAAGCGAGAAAGAGTGCAGCGCACTTCAAGAGCCATGATGGCTTTGCTGAAGAGCTCTTTGTAAGGCTAGCCTTACACGAGCTCAACTTGCAAGGTCTTTTCCGCGTCTAATTTCGGGGCCTCGACAACTACTTGTTGGTTATCCCAGAAGAGGAACTGCATGACTTGGGAGGGCAAAAGAATCAAACCCGTAGAAACCCCAAACCCGGACATTTTCAAGTGTTGAGCCCTGAGCCTCAACCCCTAAACCACTAATCGAAACCCTACGAACCCTCATGCCTCAAACTTCCTGGGGGATTTCCCCCGGCGTCTCTAGAATACCATAGTGAAATACAGCATAGCTCGTTGACCTAATATGGGAGTTTCCGAAAATAGGGGACCCTAACAAAGAACCTTAAATGAATAATAAGATCCTTATCACAGGGACTCCAAAACACGGTACCCTCAATTTTCCCCATATGTGGTAAAATGCGGTACAGCATAGGATCCCAGGCCTTCTCTTTGCCGATGGACATGTCGAAGTAGACCTTGCTGGTCACCTGGGAGTTTCCGAAAATTAGGGTACCTCATTTTGGGTCCTACTGTTGATGATATAAATCCTGCATTACCCATAATAAGGAATATACCATAGTTCCCATAGTTTAGAGTCCTTAAGGTGATGCAGGATTTATTTCATCAACCGTAATATTAAGGGATCCTACTATTTAGGGTACCATATTAGAGTCCCCTATTTTCGGATTTTTGTTCGGCTCCTTGGGGCTTGGGTTTTTTTGTTGGGGCTCTTAGGGTTTAGGGCTCCGGGTTTAGGGGGTTTGGGGTGGGTTTTGGGGTTGATTTTGTTTGGGGTTTTAGAAACCGGAGGGTTTGAGTTTTGGGTTCGGAGGTCTTGGGTTTACCTAGACCCCCCAACTACCCTTTATTGTAGCCCTGATCTACCTCTTGATGAGAAATCTATAAGCCCATTAAGGGGCACTTGGGGGGTCCTGGTAGGGGCCTAGAGTGTTGGGTTTGACTTAGGCCTTCATCGTCATCCTACCCGAGTCATGTCCGAAAGCTGGGCAAAAGCCTCCCCTAAACCCTAAACCCTAAACCCCTAAACCCTAAACCCTAAGTAGCATGTGGAGCTGGGTCTTAAGCCCAGCCACGTCTTACAGCCCCCTAAAGCCGCACAAAGGTATCTTAACCGCCGTAACCGTAACACCCTTCCCTATCATCCCCTTACGAAAACGCACAAATTTGGGCTTTGAAGTAACCGGTGAGAAAAACAACTGCACACTGGTATTTCAAAGCGGTTCCCCCAAGGAAAAGCTCCCATACACAAGCATTATAAAAGTGTGGTAGTCCAGAACACCGGGAAAAACAACAAAACCACAACAAAAACAACAAAACTAGCCGGGCGGGTCGGCCTTGGGCGCTTGCGATGCGAAGCATCGGCTCTGGGCGCCCTGTGCCTCGGGCATCGCTGGAAGTTCCCTGGGCTCCTCTTAAGGATTCTCCTTGAAGGCTCACTATATAGATCTCTTAAAGAACCCCTGAAAGGAACCTCTATAGATCCCTTATCGTTTTGTTGGGGGGGTGGGGGGCAGGGTTTTGGGGTTTAAGGGTTCAGGGTTTAGAGGTTTTCCTGGGCTCCTTATCTTGGCGTGTTGAGGGCGAAAGCTCCGGGTGTGGGTTCACGTGGGCTTCAGATTCAGGGCCTCTAGGTAGATATAGAACCACTGCAGCTATGTACGCATGAACCCCGGAAGAATATCACCAAGGATCGTTGGAAGAATCGGGCACAGCAGTATAGGGTCTGTTGGATCTCGGTTTCGCGTTCCGGCGCTTGGGGTTGGGGGTGTTAGGTTCCGTTCGGGAGAACAAAGATGTTAGGACATCGAGATCGAACCTACATCCTGAACTCTAGTCTCTTTTGGCCCTTCTTCCCTCTAACTCCCCATGGGGACAAACCCTAACACTCGACCATAAACCCTACAAACCTTCAGCTTCAACGCTAAACCCTAAACACTTTAGAAAGGTACCCTGTGCGAGGCCCCAGCAAGAGCCCAAGATCTCCTTGCGGCGAGCATCGCCATCTTTCGAACCTTTTGCTTCCGGCTTCAGGGTGCTAGGGCTTCTATGGGGTTTACCCTAAGGCCCCAAAGTAGTTCCTTTTGGGGGCTCATATTTTGAATCCTATAAGCTAACCCCAAAAAGGGAACTAATTTCGGGCCTATGGGTAGGGATTATAAGGCTTCAGGGGTCGGGAGCTTTCTTGTCTAGGGGTTTACAAGGTTTAAGGCTGTCGGGTTAAGGGCTTCTGGGGTTTATGGTTTGGGGTTTAGAGTTGCAGAGGCTGGGTTATCCGTCAACGGGAACATTTTAAATAACTATTGCTCTCATATACCTGGACCCCGAAGAACCTACCTTTTTGTGGCTCCATGTTATGATTCCTCTTAAGCAGGTAGGTTGTATATGGGCTGCAGGGAACGCTTCAGGATTGCAGCTTTTACTGTCTCCTGGCTTGCGGTTGCGGGGTTTCAAAAGCGATCAGTAGGCAAAAAACGTAAAACCCGGTTTCAACCGTCGGAAAATTCTATGACACCCTAAACTCCTAAAGCAATAAAACCTAAACGCTCTCAGATGGAAGCTGGATTTCAGAAGGTTTTCCGGCTCCCGATTTGAGTGCATTAGGGTTCGTGCTATCGAAGCGGCTGAGCAACTGTGCGGTCTTAGGAATTTGAAGAATAAACTAAGCCCTAGACCATCTCAGACAGGGCATCCGGCAGTTGACTCGTTGGGAAGACTTGCGGCGGAGCCCGTTTCGAAAAAAGCTTCAGGCTTTAGGCTTTATAGGGTTTATAGGGTTTAGGGTTCAATGGACCGTGAACACTCAACTTGACAAGGGCCCTGCGAGCCTAACAGCTACATGCTACTGAAGTTGGCTCAGTGGCTTAGTGCGCAAGGTCTTTCCTAGCCCATGTCTGCATGTGCATGCTTGCAACTAGGCTTTTGCCACTGTTTTCCGAAATCAGTGCGACAATAGCTGGGAATATTATGTTTGTTAGTGATTTCACTGACTTGGCCTTATATGATAACATCTATGAATTGGGTACTGCCCCCATACAATAACAGTCTATAATAGGGCTACTATTCAGGGCCTTATATATCGATATTATGAATATTTTCCAACTGTTACTGAGCGGGGGCCGTACCCAATCTATGAACCTACTCTCAACCCGAACCTCTGAATGTCCAGGGCGAGAGGCGCTTGCTGTCAGCACGCGTCGGTGGAACCAAAATCGTGAACTGAAACGGCGGCAGTCCGAGACAAGGAGAAACCCTCATGACTTTGAAGAACCGACATGATCCCAAGGAACAGTCATGTACTGTGCCGATGTGAACCTGTCCAGAAGCAGAATAACAGGTGCGACTGCAATGACGATGACAATGCCAACTATTGTTCAGCCGTAAAGTTCATCCTTCTTCAACTTGCTATTCGCCCGTCTAGCACCACATTCAGACCAGATAACATATTCACCGTCGTCGCCATCGTCGTTCTCGTTCGCCTAGTCACCGGCATCGTCGTCCCCTTCGCGACATCGCCTCCATCGTCGTCGCCGTACTAGTCGTCCACGTCGTCGTCGTAGTGGCAGTAGCAGTAAGTACGCCTCCCACTACAGGCACCGACAAACCGGCTTGCCGTCCCACATCGAGAGGCACGTCAAGCCAGCTCCTCGCTTGATCCAGGAAGTTTCCACTCGGGTGCATACTATCCCTAAGGCTCCACGTGCCCATCTAGTAGGTGCTTGGGCCTTAAAGGGATCCCTATATGGGTACATGGAGCCTTTGGGTATGCAGACTGGGGGATAAGTTTGCTCTGCAGGAAACATATTATGCCGGGTAAGGTCGCTCGGCCGAACTTCGGCGCTGGCTCCATCTTGGTCAGTCAGTTCTGGGTAGATGGGTCGCTAGATGGATAGGAGAAAGCGTCGATGAAGGCGTGCATGAAGGCTCAAACCCACCTGATCACATGGTGTGTGAAGTGCCGACCTGTGCAGAGTCTCCGCCCATCTGCTCTTTTTGTCATATCCGCCACGTCCGAGCAGGCATACTCTGGCGACTGCAGCTTTGACGCCTGTGCACTGCAAAATGCACCGTGCAAGTGCCCGGGCTCCTGAGTTGTGAAGCATGTTGAGGTTTGTGGCGAGTATATGAGGATGATCACCATCCATTCCATTTCTGCTGCTGCTGGAAGCATCCTCATTCTGCTGCTTCAACTTACTATCGGAGGTTTGGGGTGGTTGTGGGAGTAGTTTAGGTATGCAAGACACATGCACTTCCAAGTAGGTGCAAGCTTCGGGCGGTCTGCTGCAAGACATGTGAGACAGAGGATGAAAGCCAAAGGTTCCACCGGCCGCAGGTTGGCTCAGAAGATATGAACCAGATCCTGCGCCACGCAGAACGTCAATACCCCTATGAAACCCACCACATTAACTGCATTGGTGCATGATACGGGTAAGCGGGCTTCTAGGCAAAGGCTTGCTGGGGAGGGAAGTGGTGTAGCGAAATCCTCGCACAGTCAGCTTGCTAATGGGAAGAGGCAGCGCGACCAAATTTGTTGGCCATGGTGCATGGCTCTGGCATCTGGCAATGTATGACCTTCAGTTCACACCTTCCCAAGTACTGTGCAGACGAGTCGCATAGGATAGAGTCCAGAAGAGGATGAAGGACAGCAAACCTCCGCCAAACCTGAGCTTTGCACGGATCCCCCTCTCACGCTTTCATGTGGTCTCGCCGTGTGTCTCAAGCCGAAGTCTCTGCGATGAGCCGTTCCGCTCACCATCAGGTAGCAGCTAGCATGCAAAACATAGTGACATTTTCACCGTGTTCACCATTCCCTCCTGCAGCCAGCCCTAGAAACCTAGCTCCCACATTCTGGGCTGCTTGACGATGGGTATAGAGACGCGCAAACAACGTACTCTACAAGTAACTGCACCTCCTGGACTCTTCTTTTGGACGCACCGATGCGCTCTGATGAGATCGGGACAACACGCACGCACATGACAGTTGCGAGAAGCGTTCGATTCTTGCAACTACTTCATGTGCCGACACTCGGCAAAGACTGTACATTGTCGTTTACCCCTGGAAGACCGGGTTGCTGTCACCGGCCGCCCCCTAACAAGCCGCTTTTGGGAGTATAGACTCAAATTTGAACCCTATTGCTATAATATAGCCTGAACACTAAACCCTATAGGCCTTCTTGGGTATGGCAGCAGCATTTAATGCTGCGGCGAGGCGGGCATAGCCTGACTGGCCAGAGTTGCAACGGAGCCGATGCAACTACATAAATCTGGGAGCCTGAATTAGGGTTATGGACATGTGTGACATGCGTTCAAGGTGGAAGGTGCAGGAGCCAGGGCTTAGGTTGGTCGCAAAACGATGCAACATGTACGTCTTCTATCTGCTAACAATTTCAATATCGGGATACATCGGGGTTAGGCAGGAAGCAACTGACTCAGCAAGGAACTGCCAACTCTGAATTCAGGCTCCCGCAGCACGGTTGGTTTTGGCGAATCTGCAGCCTACCACAGATTTCGACACCTCAGATCTCTTCTACACCTCAGACTGATCCGTCTTGGGCCGAATGCTGGTAGCTGTCAATAAGGACGGAAATTTCTGGCGATCTCGGCTTGCCATTGGCAAAGCCGAGGCTGCCACGGGCTCATAAGAGTTGAACCCGGTACTGGCGGCCTCGCCCCCGCTTCCAACGGACTCTGCTGGTCCGTTCGCACCTTGGCTGGTAAAACACCCGAACTCAAACAATCATGGCCGCAACGCAAAACAACGAAGATCAACGCGCATGGTGCAGACTGCTAACTCTACTCCAAAATGCGACCCTAGGCCCCAATCTATGGCCGGATCCCATATTCGTCTCACTAGGCTTCTGAGGTACTATGATTAACACACCTGCAAGGACTAATTATCCTAGGCCCGAAGTTCAAAACCCTAAACCGCAAACCCCTCAACCCTAAACCCTATACAAGCCCCTAAGCCATGAACCCCTTACAAGCCCTATATGAGCCTATCATGACGACCCCAAACCCCTAAACCCTAAACACCAAACCCTAAACCTCTAAATCCCTGAACCCCTAAACCCTCAACCCCAAACCTTTAAACCCCTAAACTCCCAAGCCCCTAAACCTTATAACCTTCCCGTTATGACGAGGCGCAGGAGTCCAGGCTGGTGCTGTGATTCTTGTGCAGCGGCGCGCGGGGGCTCTCCGCAAGATCATCTCCGCTAAGCAGCGACATGCTGGTGGCAGGTGCCCGTGAACCTCCAGCAAGGACTTTGGGCTTTGGGGTCTTGGGTTAGAGCCTCCGGCAAGCATTTAGAACCAAATTTAGGGCTTTAGAATTTGTCTAGTGTGTGGGGTAGCGACTTGGAGAGAGTCGTGCTTCAAGGGATGATGGTGCTTATGCTGAGGAGAAGGACGATGGCAGTAACAACGAGCGGACCTGCTGTTATCATCAAACCTATGTCCAGCATCAACAACACCATCGCTATCTTCACTGCCTTCAAGCATGACCACCATCACAGCCGTCAAGTTGACATCAGCAACGTCACAATGACCACCATCATCATCGTCAACATCATCACAAGGCTCATCAGAAGCATGGCGAGACCGACAACAGCGCCAACAAACGAAGACGACTAACCATACTGTCGACGAAACGTCATCATAACCACACAGTATCACTAGCTGGATGAACTATGCTAACAGCAGCCACAATAACGAGACAATGTGAAGAGAAGCGGTCGTGATACAATAGCCCATAGCGACATAGGACGCGGTAGCAGCAACAGCAGCAGCAACAGCGGGAGAAGGAGCGGGAGTAGCGGTAGGGCTGGTCGTGGTGGTGGCAGATTAGCAGCATCAGGAGCAGGAGCAGCAGGAGCAGGAGGAGGACGCGGACGCGGACGAGGACGAGAAGTAGCAGCAGTAGGGTTAGGAGGAACGGGAGTTGCAGAAGCAGAAATAGCAGGAGTAGGAGTGGCGATGGCAGCAGCCGAGGCAGTAGAAGCAGCCGAGGCAGTAGAAGTAGCCACAGGAATCGCAACAGTAGCAGTATCAGTGGCAGTGGCAAGCAGCAGTGCTAGCAGCAGTAGCAGTCGTCTTCGTCGACGTCACCGTCTTCGTTGCCCCCCCCGCGCTGGCTCCAGGAAACAGCAAAAGCGGACGCTGTGGCGTGAAAAGAGTCGTGATGAACAAACCGCTGGCAATAGTGTCAGCATCATGTCTGACAATCGTCAGCTGCTAGGACGACACTGCGACCACACCCTAGCGTCTTGCGTTGCATTTCTTCAGAACGCCTGCTACACATTTTGCAGTCAAGAAACACGGCACAGTCAAGGATGTGCGTCTGTGCCGGCCCCGTGCTGACTGTGGTACGGCCTGCATGCGGGCAAATGATGCCTGCCGGCAAATCGAAGTACCGATAACAGACCCGCAAATGATGATGAAAGCATGGGTCGTAGCTGCAACGGCTGCTGTCACCAAACGCTTGTTGCTGTCACTATCCCATCCACACGCCAAAATCCTACAAACATGGACAAGCAACCCGAACAGCAGTGTGGGTCTCGTCTAGATTCTCTGTTCCGGCTGCCAAGATGAATCAGCTCATGGGTCGGCATTGCCCATCGATCCCCCCCACGCACCTTGATTCAGGAATACATCTTAAACAAAAACACAAGCCCTTGTAAGACTTAGAGTAGTGTACTCCTCATTAAACCCTATAAACATATGCAAACCTCCCTTTGAATATGTCTGGTCTCCTCCCAAGCTCCAAAATCCAAAAAAGGTGATCAAACAATGCACACATTCAGAGTCGTCCTTGCAAAGCCCAAGCCCTGATCCTGAAACCTGAAAGTTCGTTGCCCGGCCGGGCGCGTTGGCGCTTGGGCGTTGGATGGCCTAGGTCACAACGGTTTAGGGTTTAGAGTTTACGGTTTAGGGTTTGTGTCAATGTTATCTGGGTCTCAGGTGTAAGGCTAGTGGTGCAAGTGCGAAGATCTCTAGATGACGATTGCTCTGGATTCAAGAACCGGTGCATAATGTAAGCCCCGCGCAAACTCATTCAGACATAGATTTATGCATGTATGCGACACAGTGTACATTGTTTCATGACAGCACCTGCCAGTCTTTACAGAGACTTTACAGTAAGGGCGGTAAGGGCCTGTGCAAAGCCATTACCGGGCCTATCCCACATACAGCTGATCCCTATACAAGAAAGCATCATCCCCAAAGGCAAGGAAACCGCCCAAAAGCCTCACAGGTGTGGCTTCTCCTGTCGAAAATTCGAGAAAGGGGATGGCCCAAGCACTATCGACTAGACACACGGTTTAGGGTTTCTGGTTTTATTAGGGCTTAGTTATGGTCTCGGGATCCTTGCTTACACCAGTAGAGCCCTCGAACCCGTAACTTAAAACCCCATAAACCTGTGAATCCTTCAAGCTTAACTTGCGGCAACCAAGCCACAGGATGCATGGGCTCGTACCTCATCTAAAGCGGCAAGCGGATGCTTCTTACACTGTTGACGAAAGGCTCTGAAACTTGCATGAGGACTCAGGTTTCATGGCTTGCGGGGCTGTAAGAACTTGGACACAATGATGACAATGGGTCTTCGATATGAGGGCAACCTAAACGTTGCTTCAAGTCCTGCAGCCAAGCCCTGCAACACACCACCCCAAACTGTTGATGGATAAAATCCTGCATTACCTTAAGGACCTGAAACTATGGGGATTATGGTATATTCCTTATAATGGGTAATGCAGGATTTTGTCCATCAGCAGAAGCTCTCAGACAAGTCTCTCCACTCCTTTCAGAGTGCCCAGGGTACCGGGTACCGAGGTTTTAGTCAGACCTTTGTCCTAAGCCCTAAATCTTGAACCTTCAACCTCAAAGTTATTGACCCTATAAGTCCTAAGGCCCGAAACCCGAAGAACAACACCCAAAACTTTCAAGAGGTGCGACACCCTTAAGCGGTAAGCCTTAAAGCCTTAAGCACGCACTCATGCTAGAATAATCCAAGACAAGGTGGGAAAGCGAGAGACTGGGTCCCTTGCATTCTTGGGCGACAGAGGTTTCGGATTTAGGGATTAATCTTTCGAGGTACAGGGTTTTGGGGCCGGATCTCGGTTGCAGGGCTGGGGCTTTCGGGCTTCGGGGTTAATTAGCGACATATGTGTTTGTATGTCTCTATATACATACATATATATATATATATATATATGTATTTCTTTTTAATTACACATGCATACCTGCATACAGACATACATACATACATACATAAATACATGCACATGCACACACACACACACATCATAAACCCAGAATCAGTAAGTAAGAACGTACACCACCCTAGGGTCTGGGGTGTGTTACTTCCAGACTCTATAGACCTGACCTCTACATTTGTGTAGCGCGCAGGCCCTAAGCCGAGTCTAACACCTTCAGAGCACAAAGGTAAGCCACGTCCGGCTAGTCAAGCCACGAAGCCAGAGATCTAGTTTGCGACACAAACTTAAACTCAAGCCCTTACACCCTGGTCGGTAAACCCCAGACAGAATGGGCCATGATGCCGTGTAAGCCTCAAGCCGCAAACCCTACTTAGAGGATCATGGGACTTAGTAAGTAAGGTTATAAGTACCCTAATCCGGGTTAGAAGTAGTTATAGCTGTAGTTACCTTACTTATAACCCTAGTTACTAAGTCCCAGGCCACCATGAGCCGCAAATCGAGTACGGGTCATATATTCAAACTTACTTCCTCCCTAAGAAACCCAAGAGTTGCGTGTTGCAAAAACATTGCTTTACGAACTCCGAAACCCCAGAGCCTACCAACACAGAAACACTAAGCCTTACAACATCTCTCAGGGCCCATACAGAGGTATTGAACGACCCCATTATAGATCAACGAAGCTCCTTAATCCACAACCATACATATACCCTAAACACACAAACAAGCCCTTCTTCTGGAACCTGTAGCCCAAATCCGGCTCTCGGATTTTTTCAAAGTCGCTTCACTAGAAGCTCCTTGACCACCCTAAACCCTAAACCCTAACCCTTCGAAGCCATGAAACCGCCCGAAGTTTTACAAGAAGGAACTCTGAAGGGAACACTGAAAGCCCACAGAGAAACCCTGACGGGAACCCCTTCAATAGCCCTCAGAGGAAACCTTAAACCCTAGACCCCCAAATCCTGACTCTAAATCCATCAAACCCTCAACCCTAACCCCCCTAATTGCGTTAGGACCCTAAGCCATGTCGAGCCGCTTCGCCGGTCTGAACCCGCTGGGCTCAAACTCCGCTCGAAAGTTTGGCTCCGCTCTGGTGCATCCGGGAGAGAAGCCTTCGGCTATAGGGGTTTGTGGATAAGGGCTTGGAGGCCATGCAGGGGTTCTAGGATGGTTTAGCTCGGGGGGATGCAGATTTTTTTTTGGTGGGTTCGGGGTTTAGGGAATACGGACATAAGGGTCGAATACGGATTTGTGAAGGCCCATGGCTCAAACCTATAGCATGTTTTTTTTTTTACATGCTCTTGCAGGTTTAGGTTGAGGGCTTAAGCATCTAATTACGGTTGTAATCAGGAGGTTTGCGGTTAAAGCTAAGGGCACCCTCAGTTTTGCTATACAATGCTTGAGAAGCCCTTAAGGCTGTATAACGTCTTATGGCTCCAGACAACTTGGGAATGGAGTTTTTGAGGGCAAGGAAAAACAAACATTTCAGTCGGCCATTATTGGGTTGACAGTTTCCCGAATTGACTCATCTGGGTTCGGCTGACCTTGGAAAACTATCGTAGTTTCTCATCAAGCAATCCCTATAGTTCTGCCCCACATACCTGGCCGTGAAAGCGCCCAACAGCCTCAGGTCGTATACCCTTTCAACCCCTCCCCAAAACCCCAGACCCTCAACCCTGAGCCGTTAACCTTAAACCCTAAGCCAAGGCCTTCAAATTTGACTCCTTGGACCCTTTGGGTTGCCCCTTGCACGTACTTCTACATGCCTCATTGTCATATAATCTCCAAAGCAGTAGCCTACAAAACTGCTATCATAAACCCGGGTACCTAGTTATTGGGTCTCTTGGACCCTTATGGTATATAGGAGCTTGTATCACGTGCTTTATGGGTACTTGCTAAGTCCCCCTGATCCTTCAACCAGGACACCGGACACTCTAAACCCTTACATAAAGACTCAAAGATGTTAACCGGGCTTCGGGATATACCATACGATAGTCATGAAGGGGGCCAAAGGGGACCT